TAGTGTAATCATAACTTTGATCAAACATGTTAAACCAAACTGGGTGTTGTAAATGTAAAGTTTAGAAATAGGTATCAATCAAGCTTGCTGATTAAGAAAAGGAGCTTGAAAAAGGCTTTTAGAAGCCTTGTAAAGATAATACTGTAATTGTATTTCATTTCGTGGATGTAGAACATTCTCTTGAAGAGTTACATTTAATCAATTGTTGGCTTAACAGGTTGCAGTTATTATATGTTTCTGTTATTCCCAAGAAAGAAGGTAAATGTTCTGATTAAGTATTTTGTTGTTTATGCATCAATTGATCTGAAGCCCCAACTTCCCACCCCCCCCCCCATGGGTACCCATGGGCATTTGATTGTCATCTGTGTTTGGTGCTGGGGAATTTGAACTTTTCCTGGGTGGGGTAAGGAATTTGAAAGGAAGGTTCCAAATTTTTCCAGCAAATACACGTTTTTTCAGAGGAAGGTTTTTTAAAGTAAAAAATTCACTTTTGGAAGCAAATGGCTCAGAAGGAAAAGGTTTACAAGGTCAAGGTTTTAATTAAGGCTTGAATGGTCAAATCATTTGCTGGTTAATGAGTAGGAAGTTACCATCACTGATCTTGCCTTTAACAAAAAGTTTGATCAACAAATTCAGCACCCTAGTAGAGCATTTGATCACAATTTTGGTGCAGGGGAGTGGGATTTCAACAAACAAATCTTCAAAAGTTCAAATGCAACAGGGGTTGTCCAGATAAGGATTTTCAAGCTTTGAATTGATTGATGCATTAGTGCTTGCTAAAATATCAGAATACTTTTTCTAGAGATCTTCTTTGTTGCACTTGACTGATGATGCTTCACAAATGTGAGACCTATAACTCTGCAGTTAGAAATGATAAATTATGAGGTTCTTGGCACCTGCATTAATCTCATTCATTTTCTTAGTTTTAATTCATTTTTTTGGTCCTAAAGTTTATTTCTTGATATTGATTTGTGATAGTTGTATAGTTTTCTCAAGAGGAATCTGAACAGAAAATAATTTGATCACAGCTACTTATTCCAATGTACAATCACTCACACCTTCAAGAATACAATAAAGTTTAATAAATGTACAAAATATACCGTAATCCAAGACAGTCACGCGTCAAATCTGTGGAACTCTTGAAAATAGTCATACCTATCAATACTTAAGCAGATATTCGCCTCAACGTAAATTACGAAAAAAGAGAGAAATCCAAGGTATTCTTGCAAGAGGATTTACAATTGTATTGGTATGCACTAGTACAAGTGCTTGCAAACAGATATTATGTTAAATGCATCAGTTTCAAGATAGTAGATAATGAACGCGCTTAAGCTTTGTGAAATTAAAATGAAAATTCTAGTGGCTAGTTCTCAGTTTCACACACAGTTGCCACATTTAAAATCAAAATAGAAACCTATATGTTACAAAACTGTTCCTTATATAGCATTGTTCTCGATTTTAAAACCACGTCATCTTGTTTACAAATCAAATCGCCAGTCCAAAAACGCTCACGATGCAGTACATGGTCTTGTTTTCCCATCTCACTGTACAACTTCCATCAGAAGTGTTATCCCAGAAACAGGAACTTGCGGTGTGAAGACCGGCTCCATTTTTCTGCATGATGACACAGGTGACGATGTACTTGAACGGTTTTCCGAGCTTGGTTAGTTGATTCAAACATTGCTCGACGACATTGGAAGTCCACTGATTCACTTTGTTGTGTTGGTAAGCATTTCCGCCGATAGCTCCTTCGACAGACTCTTTGATAATGTTGCTAACCTCGTCTACGACGAAGGATGTTTCTTCTGCTGACTGATACTCGTCCATTTGGAAGCTTTTCCCCTCACAGATGCGACAAAAACAGCAGCGACAAAACACAAATCACTTTTCAATATGGAGGATTAGCACAACTTAGCAACCACGAAAAATCTCGCCCCAGTACTACAACTCGCTCAAGATAGCAACGCCTGTTCATTTTCGACGCCTCGACCCCTTACGCTACTAACCACGGTCGATCCTATTTCTCTTCTCTGCCACATTTTTGAGATGGGAGACAGCGAAGAAAAACCTTGCAGCTTTATTAAAGGTATGGAAATATAAATCATTATATTTGAAATTAAGTCATCGAATAGAAGCTGACATTTGCAGCGAGCCTCCCTAAAAGCTGGCGCGTGGCGTGGTGGGTGTTGTTCTTCGGATACAGGACACATTTGAGAAAACGTAACCCGACCATCGCTTTTTGAAAGACAAATTTAATAATTAAAAGAAAAATTGACTAGAAGTGGCGAGGAAGCCATGAGAAACCTCAGGGCTTTTACATGATGGGATCTCTCTTTGCCAAATCAAGATCCTTACAACACAATTGAAAGTGATAATTGTGATGATCACTTTGTGAAAATTAATGAGTTCTTTTCCAATTTTCAGCTGGTAATATCAGTACTTCCCCTGAACAACATCATCATCATCATCATCATCATTCAGCACCCCATGGACACAGTCATGGTGCCAACGAGCATGGACACACCCATGAATTTATGTCGAATCCTGGCCTGTGGACAGAAAGAGACAAATTAGTGAATAGATCTGACTGGAAACAAGTGAGTTTATACACAGATTTCTGGAGGATTTCCCCTGTACCCCCTACCATTAAGACAAATCTCCTCAGCAGGCCTTAGTTGTATTGAGGGGTGGCACATGGCAAAATAGGAAGCTTGCAGAGCTGCTTAGACCCATGTTTGGAAATGAGAAATTATGTCTACAGAACTCCCTACTCCTAACTATTGCTATGATGTTATTCAAATTACTGGATGGGCCTTGCTAGTACAAGGGCTCAAAATAAGACTATTACCAGTGTGATTGCCAGCTGCTGTTTAGAAAACCTGAAAGCTTAAGACTTTCATCACGCACAACAATAACTCCAACCTGCCCTGGTTGACCTTTGTCTGAAACTCTTAGCTATGTGAACAAATCTGAGACCTCGAAAGAACATTCAAGAATGAAACATTTGCAGCATAAACATGATTGCAAGGCTCATTGCATTAAGGCTGATGAGATAACAAGACTGAATGAAAATTTTGTAAGACCTACACTTTATCAAGGCACCATTTTCTATCTTCATTATGGGAGCTGCAGTAAATCTTCTTTCTTTTCCTCTCTAGCGGGCTTTTACAGTAGGTATTGGTGGTCCTGTTGGATCAGGAAAAACTGCACTAGTCTTAGCTCTTTGCAGACATTTAAGGGATTCCCATGGAGTCTGTGTTGTCACAAATGATATTTTCACTAGGTAAGTGCACTGACCATGTTTTACTGTAGATAGCATACAGATTTTTTATTTTGATATTAATTACTTCCAAATCATTTTTTCCTTCAAATTAACTGACTATGAATTTCAGGGAGGATTGGGAATTTCTTGTTAAAAATGAAGCTTTACCAGAGGAAAGAATGAGAGCTGTAGAGACAGGAGGCTGTCCTCATGCTGCTATAAGGGAGGTGAGGCAAAAAATTTCTAGTTCACAGTATAGTATTAACCATTTTACTCTGATTCCTTATTATCCCTTAACCCTTTAACTCCCAAGATCTGATTCTTAATTCTCCCCTCTAGCTGCTATACTTTTTCTTGTAAATTAGTGACAAGAATTTGGTGTTAGATCAAGATAACAATTTCTAGCTGATAAAATTGAGTATTCCCTTTCCCCTTTTGCAGAATAACATAAGGATGTTGTAGAGAGAAGTTAAATTTTAATCACTTTGGGTAGTTAAAGGGTTAAGGGGATTTATAAATCTATTTATACATAGACTAATAACTGAAGAGAGTTTGTCAGTATATCAGGACAATACCCCCCAAAGGTGATAAGTTTGTCTTTGTTCATTACCTGTTGGCTGACTATTGTGTAAAATAGATAAAATAGATAAAATAGATAAAATAGATAAAATAGATAAAATAGATAAAATAGATAAAATAGATAAAATAGATAAAATAGATAAAATAGATAAAATAGATAAAATAGATAAAATAGATAAAATAGATAAAATAGATAAAATAGATAAAATAGATAAAATAGATAAAATAGATAAAATAGATAAAATAGATAAAATAGACATTATATTGTTAGAACAAGGCCCACTGGACAGTCTCCTACAATATCCTCTCTTTTCCCCCTTCCCCCCTCCCTCCTCACCCCCTTCCCCCCCCCCAAAGATATCTTTCCTCAGATCTTCAATTATCACTAAATCTGAATAGAAAATTGTGTAATTACATGGCACCAGTCTTTTACAGTATGGACCACACCCCCAATTTCTTTTTTTGGACCATTGGCAGCAAAGCAGAAAAACAAAACCAGCAGAAAAAAAATACTTGGTATATATTGGTCTATGATGGTCCCGCTCTGTATAAGGAAAATTGTGCCCTTGGTCTGGTTGAGTATGTTTTTTTCCCCATACAGACCTCCTACACAGTAAATAACATATTAAAAATGGATTTCTGGCTATTCAAATATACCACTCAAGAAAATCAAGGTCTTAATAATGTTAACGTAAGACATCAACACATTTGGTAGGATTATTCACTGAACATGGAGGAGGTTAAAGACTTGACCAAAACATTCCAACCAGATCTGGTGATAATTGAATCTGGTGGAGACAACCTTGCTGCTAATTACAGCAGAGAACTGGCTGATTACATTATTTACGTCATTGATGTTGCAGGTTAGAATTCAAATTAAATTCACATAAAGTAAATAAGGGAGCAGATTTTTTTTTCCAAAGTTCCTCCTTTATTCTCTGTTACAAGCAACTGTTCTCCCTGGGTTTTCATGCAAAACCATGTAAATGGTCCCTTATATTGTGAAATTTTTAAGTCATGTAACTAGCTTACCCAAGGAACACTCAAACTATTTTTTAAGAAAGGTCCTATGCTTGCTGACAACAGATTTTCCATCAAACACCCCTATACCTAGCTTTTAAGGAGGGGGAGTGTGGAGTTTTGATAAGCAGGTATTCCCTTCAATGCATTGAGAACAAAAGCAAGCAAGAGGATGGCAGAGATGAGAGAGAAATATTGTGGAAATGAGCATAGTGATGAATGATCCAATGCACTGATAACTAAAGCAAGTAAGAGGATAGCAGAGAGGAGATGAAAATGTTGGGGAAATGAGGCATAGAGATGGATTATCAGAAAATGATGCTATCAGGTAGAAGGGATGTTTTTTGATGATTTGTAGGGGGAGACAAAGTTCCTCGCAAAGGAGGTCCAGGCATAACACAGAGCGACTTGCTTGTTATCAACAAAACTGATTTAGCAGAAGCTGTTGGATCAGATCTTAAGGTAGGGCTTGACTTTTTTTGTTGCTTTGAAGTTAAATTCAGCCTCTATTCAAAGTGACTAGTTCAAGATTTCTGCTAAATCATCCTGTATACCAGAAACAACTGCCTCCTACCTTAAAAAATTAGGATGGGGACTTCCCCTTTTTTTTAAGTTATGGAAGGGGGGGGCACACAGGCTATGCTAACTAGTATGCATCTTTTACCTTCAAGAAACAAATTTTTTTTGCCATTTATGGTAAGGAATCACATGTTTAGCTTCATCAAAGGTAATTATATTTTTCTTAGGTGATGGAACGAGAATCTGCTATGATGCGCCAAGGTGGTCCAACTATATTTTCCCAGGCCAAACATCTGGTTGGCGTTAAAGAGATTGCAGATCACATACTTGCTGCTTACAAGGACAATGTGAAACATTAACATAGAAGATTACAGAGGCCTCCTTTTATTATACTTTAAAAACAAATCTTGGTGTACATGTGAATAGCTTATCATTAAAAAATGGGTTTTAGGCTGAATGGTTAAGTGTGATGGTTTCTTGTTGAGACCTGAGGTCAGCAACTTTGAAATACAGTAGTCAATATAAATTATTTAATTCCATCTTACTAAAAATATTTATGTTTATGATAATTATCATTATGAAAACATTAAAACAAGGAGTTCCTCAGATTGTACAACTTGATTTGTCCAAGAAAAACTTTGTGGCAGGCATGTTTTGATTTCCTGCTTTAATTACAAACTTCTTAACTGTTCATTTATCATTTTTGTGTACTAAATAATAAGAACATTGTTTGCTAATGGACAATATTTTCATTTCACGAGTGGGTCTCCTCCAAGTCTTGGTACAATATCTTGAATAATCATTCTAAAGAAATTGTAGGCCTGAAGAACAAAAAAGAGATGACATGTTTTAGGCCTATACCTCTCAGAGAAAAAATGACAGAGGCTATAAATAACTGTATCACTGACTCAAAATGACAGAGATAGGAGACAGCAAGGTCAACCTCTGTTATGCACATCTTTGCATAATCCCTCTTGTAGAGTAGAGACAATGTTTTCATATAAAAACTGAAGAGTGTCATAGTGTTACTACATGACAAGTATGCAAGTGAGCAAGACAAAATGAACTAGTAAGCAATATAAATGAAAAAACATGAAATGACATGAAACTATGCACACTAAATTATGCACTTAATTCCCAAGCATGGAAAATATGCAGCATGTTACTAAAGTTTTTTGCAGAGAGTATTTGTTACTTTAATTACAACATACAACACCCGAAAGAGGAAAATTACTGAAAATATCACATCACTTACCTCTTCTGTACTTTGTGTGGTTATGAGTTTGACAACAATGCCATCACACAGTGAAGGATCCAAAACACTAGCATAGGCCATCAAATCTTTCTTGACGACACTCATATCATTACATTCTGTTGATTGAGTCAAACGAATTTGTTCAATAAAAGTTAACATTTACTCTTTCTTTCAGAAATTGGTGCTGGAGTGTAGGTTTCAAAAACCATAATTCATTTATCTTGACCGTCTAGACAATATATATACATTTACCTCTGCTTTGTTTCAAGATTTCAGAGAGAAACCTATCCATTTGAAAATTGTCTCCAAATGAAATAAGAATTTATCAAAGGATGCCACCTGTTTGACAACAATTTGGTTAAGCCCTCTCATGCACTCAAACCTACTGTGTTCAGTTCATAAACACTTCCTGCTCTGGTTAATGCACAAAAAAATTGTTTGAGTCACAAATGACTTTAGTGCAGCTTTTTAATAGTTAACCCTATTCACTCCCATGATTGACCAAGCGAGAATTTCTCCTTACAATATCAATACAATATCAACCAGACAAGTGATGAGAGTAAGGATAAATATCAATATGGGGATTGTTAGTTGATCAAATATCAAAATTAATTCTCCAAACCAACATCATGAGAATTGTATGGCAGACAGTAAGGAGAATTTCTAATGCAATCTTGGCAGTGAGAGGGTTAAAGAGGTTGCTAAGGGATGGAAGAAAGAGAACCAAGCCTTTATGGTGTCCAAGGAAAGCCACCTATTTATGATGGTGCATCCAAAGTAGAACATTAGGCCAGGTCAGTTTACTCTTTGGCAATCAAAAACACAATCAGTCTGACTGTATCTTATAATTTCATATGTTATTTGATTGTGGAGACAAGAATGTGTCTTACTTGTGAGAACAGAGACTCTCTCCTTAATTTTTTTCTTGATTTCTTTAAAATATGGACCAATAAAAACACAGGTTCCCAAAACCTGAAAGACAAACAAAACCGTAAGGTGATGCTAATTCAAGAATTTTTATTCAAATAACAACTGAAGGTTATTAAAAATATCAAGTGTCTTTTAGTTACCATCACACCACACATGGATTCTTTTAGTGAAAGAAAGCTGTTCTCATTGCTAAGAAAGATTGAATCTCCATACACTTGCTTTCCATCCACAAAGACTCTGTTGTGACTTTTGTAACTATATGTTCAGACAGAAAATATGTAACAATAAGTTTGAGATTAAATTGTGTAAATAAAAAATATCCTTACATGTGTGATTATACTACTACTTAATGGGAGTGGGAATTTAGAAGTGGACATTTCCAATAGGTGGCTTTTCTTGTCCACTGTTTCCAGGTCAAATTGGAATTTGGAATGAGGTTTTCTTTGGAGAGAGAAAAGCTGAAGGACCTGGAGATGAGCCCTCCGAGCAAGGACAAAAAGCAATGACAAACTCAACCTTCATGTGGTCCCAGGTCTAGGAATCAAATCCAGGCCACAGCAGTAGGGAGGTAAATGCCTCAATCACCACTGTGCCATTCCTGCTCCTACTTACAATTTATAAAATAATGAGTAATTACCTAGTCATATCCCAGACTTCTCCAAGTGCCACACGCCCAGCTGTAAACCAGTCAAGGATGATTACACTGCCATTTGAAGTGAGCTCAAAATCCTACAACATAATGATCATTCATCAATGATGTTCGAGATTCAAACAACATGCAACCAACTCGTTGACTTTCTGTCCTTACCAGTAGTAAACAAAGAAAAAAAATTTTAAAAGCAGCATTGATATATTAATGGAAATGTGTTCATACAGTTAAAGGTGCTTCAGATATACCAGAGCATCTACAAGGAGGTTATCGTTGGGTTCAAAACAAGCAATTTTTTTTTTACTGATCTAAAACTTGCCTGTTTCTGGCTGTAGATGGCATTTTTGAAGCAGACCACAGGATCAGGAAGAACTGCAAGCAACCCTCCATCAGCAACCAAACCTTTCAAGCCTTGTTGTGTAACTAAGCCCTCTTCTGAGTGATAAACCTGGGCAGGTTCAAAGATAGGTTAAGATAACCCAGGGTTAGTGTGAAATCTGATTTCAGATCTGAAAGCTTTATAAGAAAATTCAGTAGAATTCTTTTTGCCAGCAATTTTATGACTGGATGAGTTATAAATAGTAGAGAAAGGCCTTTGAACAAAGGAATAAAGAAACCTGAACTGAAAGTTAACCCTGGGTTGGGGTTAATTGGCCTTTGAACAACTGGACCCTGGGTATTAAAGTGAGCATAGGTGAGGACAAGTAATCAAGCTCATCAAACATTTGCACCTTCCCTTCAAGAAAGTCTGGAGTGTTGAGGTCTTTCAGTAAAAGACTAGGCTACTGACCATCACTGGAAAATGTAATAGATGAGCACTCTGAACTGAGTAGGCTGCTGAACTGAATTCTGCTGGAATAGCAGAATTCAATTCAACATACCCTTATCAAGGGGGTCAGGAGGGCAAGCTCCCCAAGTAAATTTTGAAATAAAAAATTCTCTGAGACTTGAAATATGGTCCATTCTAGGCCATACTTGGTTAACTTCTTTAGCTAGACATTGATGCTTAGAATCAGTTAAAAAATACTTATTTTCTGTCTTTGATCACAATTTGCAAAGTAGTGCAAAATGGCATGACAATCGTCAGGTTTTGGCCAACTACTGGCTTCTTTAACACTTTAACTACCAGAGGTGATTACCATGTAACTTCCCCTTAAAGTATCTATACATTATACAGCAAATAGGAAGTGAGAATACTTAAACTCATCAGGTACAAGTTATTGCCAAATCTTGCAAGCAACTTACAGGGAAATGTTTAGTGGCTAGAGGGTAGAACTGACAATTGGATCTTGAGAGTTAAAGGGTAAAATAACAACCTTGCTCACCTTTGTCGAAGCCTGAGTGGTCACAACCACTGTACAGTGCTCCCCAACCTTGACATCAAGGGACACATTGTCTCCCTCCACAAGCCCACCGCCAAATGTGATTACATATAGCCACTGACTGCTTGGTATAGAAGATGCACAACCTGGCACAAGTAGTTTTAACTGCCAGAAGAAATATTTGATAAGAGATTGACATGGCAAATTTATTTGTCAGAAGAATGCTATCTGAAAAAAATATAAATTGTTACTAAATTCTCAAGCAGAGTACAGTATTTCATTCACAGAAACTGAGGGTTAGGTAGTAGTTTTTGCAGAGTTTGCTTTTGTGAAATTCTTATTTGCAGTAATTAATTTTTCTTTATCATGGACCAACCAAAAATTAATTTGTGTTACTATTTCTTACAGGGTAAGTGTATTCAAGTTTGGTGTTTCTGACTTTGTAGTCTTCTGCAGATTCCTGCCATGTATCTTTATTTTGGACAGGGGAGCAGCAGAACTCTGCAAATCCCTTCACAGCTTTACGTTTGTCTAAGCGACCATTATCATCAGCTACGTATTTGCCATTTTCAGTGGACATAGATCCAGATCTTATATGCAGTGGATATTCCAAAATTTTCTAGTCCTACAATCCTGGAAAAAATAAAGAGCAAAGTTAAATGGCATGGAATGAACAGAAACTGGCATAAATTATTGTAAAGATTTTTTCAAATATTTATAATTGTCATGTATGACATGGGTACTATAAGAGTTGGAATATTTGTGGTTCAGAGTCACTGAATTACTAAGGACCCAACAATTGGTATTTCTTAAGAGATTCTTAAACAAAATCTCCCTAAGTAATTCTGCAGATGCGTACAGTACTCAGAGAGAGACATGATCTCTTTGTGCTCTTATCAGCATGCAGAGGAACACTCGTGCAAAATTTAAACATTGATCTTTTTCCTATTGAGCTAAATTGTACGTTCTAACTTTAAAATCATCAGCCATTCCAGCTTATTTATACCGTTCTACGTATCTAAACCTCAGGAATGAAAAGATTGACTCACTTGGAGATGTGACGGTGTTCCTTTTTTACTTCGTCCACGAGGCTTAGTATTAATGGAGAAACATACAATAGGCTTACATGACGAAAAAATTATTACTCTTAAAGCGCAATTCAGGGGAGACAAATAACATTTTTTTTGAAGGGAAAATAAATCTAAAACTCAATCCTTACACATATTGAATCCACAAGACTGATATAAAGACAAACAGTTTCTAATTTCTGAGAATACGGTAAAAAATAAGAGGTAATAATTCATGCCCTATCGGTGCCCTATGGTGTAAGGAAGTGTTGTTACCAGTTTCCGCGCGTTAGTTTAAAATGATCATGGAAAATATGGCGGATAGGTGGAAGATCCCCAACCTGAAATGATTAATGTTATCGGGACGAAGCAGGGATTAATCAGTTATTCTACAGACGTAAAGAGGTACGCTTTCCCCCCCCCCTCCCCTGCCAAAGAGTTTGAGGACCAATTTATCGATTCGTCATTGCCGTAAACGCGTATCTTTTGAAAATGGTGCGAGTACTTCTGTTCCATTACTTCAAATCGCAACGTACGTTCTCCGATTCTCTTCAACCTACCTCTTTTGCCTCTACGAAAGATTATCTTTTCCTTGGTACTGGAGAAATGAAGGTGTTTGTTTACTCACTCGAGCAACCGAACTTTCCTCTATTCTGTGAGTTTCCGATCATGTCAAAACCTGTCAAGTTGATTTGCAACGAGAAAGCCAAGTGCGTTTTGACAATTGAGAGAACACGCCGAAGAAAAAACACTGGCAGTAAAGTGGTGAGCGTTCAAACTCACTCTCGCGCTTACTTTAACTGGTTCAAGGCAAATCCTGACGAGGCGGTGCGTACTTATGCAGCGGGACATTCTCATTATCAAAGGCAGGAATCGGAGGGAAAGTGCAAGGATTTCCTAGCTTTGGAGATTCCCACCCAGTTTGATGTCACAGCTATTTGTTGCTGCCCAACAAGTGGTAACGTTGCTATTGCAACCGTGAAAAAAGTGAGTTTGTTCAGATGGAGTGGTAACCTTACGTCTGGCGGCACAGATGTCACTGCAATGTATCATGATATGGAACATTTCCTTGACATTGAACCAAGCATGATTGTAAAAGAAGTTGTTCTAAGTGACTGCTACCTAGCTGTGAGGTCAAATCTAGATGTTCAAGTCCTCAAGCTTGTGTTTACAGCTGATCAAGATTCTGTGTCGTCAAGCAGAAGTGGGAAAAGTTCAAGTCCGGGAACAACTCTGCTGAATAAGTATAGCATAGCAAAGAGCTGTTGATCCAACCGTTTGAGGGAACCCCTCCTCCTCCCTGCTTCTCCTCCCAAATGAAAATGATGAAGGGAGGGTAGTATCCTGGCCAAGATAGGATCATTTTCTCCCCCTGAGCTTCTTTTAACCTTAAAATTATACATTAAGATGGGTGTGATAAGATCTATGATCTAAATATTATTAATGGATCACCAAGGAACGACTTGAAGAAATTTGGCACTACATTGGAAGTTGTTAGTGTTAGGGTGGGTTCCTTTTTGGTTGGGGAGGGTTGGGTAGTTTCTTTTGATGAACTGGCATGTCTGACTCAATGAGCAAAACAAATTTTTGTTATGATTAAGAAGCCTTTTTGATAAGCTTTAGCAACTGGTGCCACAAGCCTGATGAAGAGTGTGATAAGAGGCTTTATCATAAAGCCTATCCATCTTGCTCTCTCTAAGTTAATAGAGACAAGACAAAAATCTTTGTATAAGGGCTTTACCTGTTTGCAAGTTACAATGATGTGAGCAAAGTTGGACAAAGGAATACAGACTGTCACTGTCACCATCACTGTACCCCTAAACCTAACCCTAAGCATTGAAAATCATGCAAATGAGAAAATATTTTGCTCTCAGTGATAATGCATGTACCTCTCTGCACTTGGTCGGTCTCTCATTACCTTGAACCAAATATTTTCCTGTCAGGTCCTCCCTCCAAGTCAATAAATACCTAACATGAAGCTATCATTGAAAGTTATATTTTGCTCATAGGGCCACAACATCCCTGTTGGACTTTGAATCCATGCTCCACCCAACACAACAAACCAAAAGAGAACCAAAAGCTGACAACTGTGTTTTGTGGTCCTTTGATGATTGCTCACCATTATTGTCTTCAAATAAACCACTAGCTGTGAAATCAGATGAGGAAGTTGTGTTTCCATTGTTGAGAAAGGAAAAGGTTTACAAAGACTTCTTACCAGATCCCAAGGAAATCTTAGGACCTGTGTCAGAGGTACCTGGGCATCCTGTGACTGTTGCATTTGGAGGTCTCTATGGAATTGGTTTTGCTGTGGATGGGTGTATGCTAAGAGTGAAAGGAGTTACAATGCTGTATCGCAGATTTAGAGTGGAGCAACTTAGTAATGAAGGCAATGATTCTGCTACACTTCACACATTACAACTTCTCCCAACTTATACACAAGGTAGGATAAATTATCTAATCTCTCTAAAGCACTCTTTGAAATGTGGGATCAGCATAGGCCAATACAGACACTGTAATTTTCCTACAACAAAAAATTTAACCCTTAAATCCCTAAGAGTGACTAGCATCTAATTTCTCCTTTCAATGTCACCACTGAATCACACATTAATGTCATGAGAATAAAGGAAATGATCACTAGCTAAAGAAATTCTTGATTGTTAGACAAATTCTCCTTGTCAGCACCTTAGTAAATGTACAGAGAACAGTAGGGAGAATATGAATACTGATGTTAAGGTGTAAAAGGTTAAAGGGGGAAAGGGAGACTGGGGAGAGAGTGTTTTAAGAATTATGACAAGGATCGTAGGCTAGTTGTTACCTTTATGTCTGCCATGCTTTTGATTGGTATCTCTTGTTTTGTTGCACAACCCCAGATAGAAATCATTTTAAACCTGATGGGCTGGCTATTTAAAGTTTAGCATTTGTTTGACAAAGCTGCATTCTAAGCCATCTTCAATTTAGCCAAACCATTTGTCTGAACATTTATTTTAGTGAACAGTGTTAAGAGGGCTGAAAGCTAAGAGTAGAAGGACATTTATTCAGTTAATCAACCCTCTTACAGGAATCCATGAGGCCCATAGTGGTTTGGGTTAGAAATCATGTAAATAACCAGCCCAATTTGTTGAACCCTCTAACCTGAGTCCAAGCAACTTCATAATAATGAATTGTTGTTGCTACCAGACATTGTTCTCTTCTTCCTCTTTCTCTCACCTGTCATTACAATCCTTGAAATTGTCAAGGGACTGTGAACTTACATAAAGTGTCTTCCCATTGATACAAGGCTATTTTTTTCAGTGACCAAAATTTTCCTTATGGCAACCATTAAACAACTGAAGGTTTGGAAAAGGCTACTTTCTGAAAACTGAGCCCTTTTTCTTGTGCTGGTATGTGTTAAAATGAATGACAACTTTGTATTTTGGTTTTTATCTTTTTAGGAATATCTCATGTGAAAGAGATGCAAAGATCTCCCTTAGTTGCAAGGACTCTCTTTGACCCTACTTTGTGTGGTATGTGTTGCCTCATTTCTGGCCCAAAAGAAGGCTTCATGTATGATGTGTTTGATACTTGTAACCTTCTGTCTTATTACAAGTACACCATTGATACAGTCAGTGTTTCCGTCTTTAATGGTCTGCTTCATGCAATAACCAGACAGGGAATTGAAACTTACACTGTGCGCATATATGCAGCTGCATCTGATTGGATCAGAAAGCATGCTGCTGAAGATGTTCAAGTTGACGAACACCAAGGTGAGGAGCAAAGTGTAGTGAGCAATTTTGGGGGACAAGAAGAAAATTTTGGGGAGGTTTTTGATGACAAAAAGAAGTCTGATGAAGATCTGGAGAGAAGAGATGCTGAAGATTTGGTAGTTGAAAGTAGATCAAGTTTAGCCTCAGCTCCTGGGTGCACACGAAGTGAAGAGTTGCTTGAAACAGTTGAGGTCAATCAAGAACTCAAAGAAAGTGTTGAACAAGACTGTAGTGAGCCTTGCATCACAGAAAACATGCCATCTACGGCAACTGCATTTACCCCCACCATTTCCTGTGCTGACAACCCAGATGCCATAGACACAGCCTCATCTAATAAAAGTACAAAACTGTCTGGCGATGAAGTTCCTCCTGTAGGTTACAAGGAGGCAAAACCATCACCACCAGACATCAAATGGACTGTTGATAACTCTGGCCGTACACTTGTGAGGTTTACATCGAGAAGTAAAACATCTCTGCATAGAGGAGCAATGACAGGTGATATGAAACAGTTTGAAGAAAGTGGACATAGCAGTGATGGTACAGATGGTGTGTATGACACTGAGATCAAGTGCACAAGAACATTTACAATTAGCAGTTCAATGAATCGTTATACCAGCACTGGAGCTAAAGTGAGTGATGCTGTTTATCAAGCTGCTGTTATAAAACTCTCCAGCAACAATGGATGGCCATTACCAGTCTTTGACCTAAAAAGCCTGAGACAGGTATGATTTTGTATGGAAAATTTAGTAACCAAGCATTACAAATATAGCAATTCATTGTTAATGTCAGAGTTTTACCAGTTTCTACTGCTTGAAAAAAATACAGTCAAATCTGTATTAAGGGGCACCAGATTAAGCAGTTGCTTGTCTAGCTAAGTCCCCAATTTTTTTCACCCTAGATACTGTAATTTGCAACTCCATTAGGTAGTCATGGTTACCCTTGATTGAGTCACAACAGCCTGTTTACATTGTTATCCACCTTTATTGTATGGTCACATAAAGAGTAACCACTGAAATAAAACCAAAAAAAAACTTTGAAGTAAAATTTAATCCATGTTTCTCTCCCAAAATCAATGTTTAATTTAACTTAGTTGTATTTTTGAGCAAGTTTTTGTACATTAGGAGGTCAATTCTGGGATTTATGTTAACTTTGCATTTGGAACTAAGTGCTGCTTGAATATGAGATCTGGCTCCGTTAGAGTTGATAATTACATCCAGCCCTTGACAAAAGTCTTAATTAAAACAGAATTTCATTTTTGTATCGTTATTTTTCTTGGCATTGCTGTCCTTATTGCGTTAAGTCCCTGGTGGAGAGAAGCACTGTAAGAGACAAGTGTCTTCATGAGGAACACGTACAATGATCCATCCAGGACTTGACCATGAACCTTTTTGATCTGGAATCCATTGTCCAATCCATGTAAGAATGGTGTCTCCCACTTACTAAAATTGTTGGTAACTGACTATTTCTGTTTATAATTACCAGCTAGAATGCCTCCTGACCCTGCTTATGCAGCTAGTTCAGAAGAGAGGTTTGAGTTAGTCTTTGGGTAATATTTATATTTCATTTTTTTTTTTTCCATACAGCGCTGTCCTCTGCCAAATCTAGACGTCTGTTTGATTGGCATGTATCCATTTATTGGATGTCAGTATGTGTCTGCTAGTGAAGGAAATGTTGTTTTGTTCTCAAAATCTGCACATGACCACTTTCAAAGAAGCAAGAGGTACAGAACTCTGATGCATTAGGCCATTTCTCTAAGACTGATTGAGATAATTTATGAGAGTTGCAAATGCAGAGACAGGCAAACATAGAGTCCATTTAATGGCAGTTTTAAATAACAGTTAACAAATAGACAGACAGAAAGGCAGATGGCAGTCCATGTGGAGCATGTGAAAAAAGATAGGGAAGCAAGTGGATAAACAGAGATAATAAACAAACCAATATTTGCACAGAGCAGCAGAGGGCCCTGCTTTAAGCCAGTTTGCAAAGCCAACAGGAAGACAGGCAAAGAGAAAGACAAACCAATAGACAGACAGACTGACTGGCTGACAGACAGACCAGCAGACAGTCAGATAGATATACAGGTGGCAATCCAGTGACAGACATAGAGAGAGACAGATAGGTGGGTTAATACACAGAGAGATGACAGATGGGCACACAATACTGACAGACAGACAGACAAACAATTTAAAGATGAACAAATAGATTGACAATTTCCTAGGACAGATAAATGAGACAAGGTCCTGATGGGCATAAAGAGGGACAGAATTTATCCAACTGGGTTTAAACAGGAAGATAGAAAGCAGATGTACACTTACAAATTAAAGTCCATATGAAAAGATTTAAGAGACCTTATGAACTGAGTAGTGACAGTCTTAAAACAGATGGAAATAGATGTTATTTAGAGTACTTTCATGCATTAAGCAATATATGGTATAACTGAGCTGAGATGTAGTGCATATTCTGAAATGAGTGTCAGCTCAGTAGGGTTAAGTAGAGGAACTTTTCATAGAAGCAATGAGTACAAAATATTTAGCAAACATTGAATTTGGTCTTTGTCATAATCCTAGTGCAAAATTAAATTTGTTAGTTTCAAGAACAAACCATCAAGGCCTCAGACTGAACAGAGAGAAAGTAAAAACCCTGACTGGATGGTATATGTCCTCCAGAACATGGACCCCACTCAGCTTTACAAGGCAGTGGTATGTGGCACTTTTTCAACTTATTTCTGTGGATCACAAAATCTTAACCCTTCAACTCCCAAAATCTCATTAGTAATTTTCTTTGCTGTCTTCCATACAATCCTTATGACGTCAGTTTGGAGAATTTGGTATTGGATCAACATTTAACCCCTTAATTGATATTTTTCTTTATTCTCATTACTTCTATGCTTGATATTGTATTGATATTGTAAGGAGAAAGTCTTTCTTGGTCATTCATGGGAGGTAAAGGGTAAAATCCAATTCTTTATGGCACTATCCATTTTCTCCTTACTTTTCTCAGTATATTTAAGGTGCTGACAAGGAGAATTTGTTTCACAATCAAGAGCTGCTTTAGTTGGTGATCATTTCCTTTATTCTGGTGACCTTAATGAGTGATTCAGGGGTGAAATTGAAAGGAGAATTAGATGCTAGTCACTCATACGGGTCAAACATGGACTTTTCAGGCTACAACTCTTCCCTGTATCAGCATCATTACAAAAATTTTTTTCCATTTACAAGTCCAGTTATCTTGGAGTATTAGAACTTATTAATAGGATTCTTTTCCTTTTCAGATGCCATTGGCAAATCGTTGCCAGAAACACAATGCACAGGCATTTCATCATCTCATTTGCGAGCAACACTTTTTCCTAAGAACACTTTGCTTGGCAGATTCGGGTTCCAAAGATGACAAGAACAAAAAGAAGCTTAAGAAGCTACTCTGCAAGTCTGCAGCAAATTTGACTGAGGTTTTTTTAAGGTTAGTTTAATGAGGGCTTAATTTTTCTTCAAAGTTATTTAAATAGTGCGAAGAGAGGTTTCTGGCATAAACAGTGTATTAAGCTTCTCTGTCACAACCCTTAATCAAGTGGCCATGAGATTTTATAAGGCAAAATTTTGTTCAAACATAGGATTTCATTCATAAATTTGCCATTCAATTGTAGATATCTGTACAATGTGATGTGGCAAAATAACATAATTGAATAAAGTTATTGATTTTACAGAATCCCTGATGCCTCTAAGGATAGTACAGACTACTTTGCAATGTCTGGTCTAACGCTGCGAGACATTGTTGACAAGGCTTATAAATCTGAAGAGCCTGTAGCAGATGGCTTGATCCATTTCTTGGATGAAAATTTATTTGGGTCAGACAAACAAGTTAATGTGTCAGAGGTGAGGGTCATATAATTAGGCCCAGTTGATGAATGAAATATATGTCTTTGTCATTGTCTTGATGTGCACAATGTTAGTGACCAATGGTTGGTGCGTTTGTGTCCAAATATGAATGTGGTGGTCTGTGCTTTCATTGGGTTATGTTGTTTTATGTGATTATTAAGTGATAAAGGAGGGATTTCTTAAATTGCAAGCCTTAGCCCTTCAACCTCTAAGAATGACTAGAAACTAATTTCTCCATTCAACATCACCCCTTAAACACACATCAAGGTTTTGAGAATTAAAGAAATGATCACCAACTAAATAAGCTCTGGATTGTTACCCAAATTCTCCCTTGTAGGTACTATAGGAAATGTATAGAGAACAGTATTGAGAACTTACATACTGATGTTAAGGTGTAAAGGGTTATCAAAGAATTCTTTTAATTTATTTTTTCTTCAGAGTATTACCAAAAAAATTTTCAAGCTCTATGCCAGAAGTAAACCAGGTCGAGTAGCAGAGATTATCCTGATGTCATCTCTCAGTGGGTTTTCATCAGGTTGGTTAGAGAAAATTGTTTATTGGATTAATTTGTTTTTCATAATAATTAACTAATCATATGCAAAGTTTACTGTTAATTTTTGCCTTTTAAGACTCTTACTAAGTGGAAAATATCCAAAAAAATTACTTTATCACCAAAAGGAGAGAGTGAATGCAATATTTACTTACAGATCACCTTGCTTTGCTCATTTTTCTTCATCATTATTCCTACTTGATCCACCTTTTTTAGGTTGCAAAATTGATGGGGAGAAAACAGAGCCTTTTGTGTCTGTTGTCTTGAGATTCAAACCGTGTTATACTGCATATCAGTCACCCCTTACTTCTTGCACAACCAGAACCCAGGTTGTTCTCTGCTATTGTGCTATCAATCATTAAGCTGACCTTTCTTCCTCTTTCATCCAATGCCCTATGCTGTCAAGTTGGTCACATGGGTCATCTTTGTCCTAAGGAGAAAAGAATTTATTCCAGGAGTGGTTGATGCAAGATTCAACCATGTTTAAAATTAATGATATAAGTTTGTCCCGTTTAGAGACAGCACTAGCTGCCTTGGAAGATGTGAAGAAAACTAAAACTGAGAAGGGTTGTGCTTACAGGTTGGTGTTCCTGTGGTATATCTTATCTCCCAATGGACTTCTTTTATTTTCCTTTTCATTTCTATATCATTAGTCAGATAGATATATGGTAGATACCCTTATTTAGAGAGGGTTTCTCTTTCAGTGTTTATGTTGTAAAAAAATCACCAAAGGTCTTATAAATTAAACATTCAAGAAATTTAAAAAACAATTATAATAAATTTTTAAAATGTACATAATGAGTTAAGAGTGATGTAATTGTGTTTAATTAAGGATGAGGATTAATTTGCTTAATTAAGTTCATGATGGCTTATTGTTAATTTAGCTTATCACCATTGGATAACGTGGTGCGAGCTGTGCTTTATCTTCATCAATGTGAACCTGATCTTGCCCAGTCTGCCCTCTTCTCTATTCCTGAGGTAATTGTGAACTAGACATAAATTTGAGGCAAATCTCAGACTCCACAGAGTTACAAACTCTATGTTAGTACTATATTATAATAATGAATAATGTGTATATGATGTCACCATGAACACTATTTTGCTTTTTTTACTATATGTAGCAAATAGATTCCAAATTACTGTTAAACATTTAGATTCCATTTTGCCCCAGGTCTGTTCAGTAATAGATCACAGCAGAAGTCAAATTGTGGTAAGAACATCATTAACATACATAGCTGTCCCTCATTGCTACTTTTTGGTTCTTACCACAAGTCATTTTGATGTCATCTGAGATCTATATCTGAACAAACACACAGCAAAATGGAATCTAGGTGTTTTAACAAATTACTGATTAAAATCAGTGATTTGCCTTGTCGTAGTTTAAGGTATCAATGTCAGATATGAAAGAAAAACAAATTTGTATGTATAGCTTAGGGAAGCATTTGAAACTAGTGTTCAGTCATCTTTATTTCAACAGTCACACAAAAATAGTTACATGGATGTCAGCACAGTTCTAAATTGTAGACAGTATCTTATGAAAGAAGTGCTCGGTAGGGTTCAGATGAAAAAATCACACACAAAGGGGTTCATTTAAAGATGTGATAGTAGAATCAGCTTGTGCAATATACTAAATGATGGCTTGTAAACCTGTCACTTTTGTAGCTTTTCATTTGAAACTTGAGACAAGGGTTTTATGCAGAGGCTGAAATTTAGAAATAGCTTTCTTCTGCATTTTTGATTTAAAACAGAAAAAGCTTGTTGAAGTTCTGACCACTCACTGTTACTTATTACATGATGATGGAACTCACTTTACTCCTCTCGCACAGGTAGGAATGTTTTAATCTGTAGGTAATTGTAATAGGAGCAAGTGGATTCCAATTCAGTCTGTAATCATGTGAATCATGTACAAAAGCAAATGGTCCCTGAACAGGAGTGTGGTTTGTTTATCACACAAGTGATTGCAGACAAAAGAGGAGCAAGTGGATTCCAATTCAGTCTGTAATCATGTGAATTATTTACAAGAGCAAAATAAAATGGTCCCTAAGCAGGAGCATGATTTGTTTATCACACAAGTGATTTCATACAGAAGAGGAGCAAGTGGATTCCAATTCAGTCTGTAATCATGTGAATCATTTACAAAAGCAAAGTAAAATGGTCCCTAAGAAGGAGTGTGATTTGTTTATCCCACAAGTGATTTCAGACAGAAGAGGAGCAAGTGGATTCCAATTCAGTCTGTAATCATTTGAGTCATTTACAAAAGCAAAGTAAAATGGTTCCTAAGCAAGAGTGTGATTTGTTTATCACATAAGTGATTGCTGACAGAAAAGGAGCAAGTGGATTCCAATTCTGTCTGTAATCATGTGAATCATTTACAAAAGCAAAGTAAAATGGTCCCTAAGCAAGAGTGTGATTTGTTTATCACACAAGTGATTGCAGACAGAAGAGGAGCAAGTGGATTCCAATTCAGTCTGTAATTATCGAATCATTTACAGAATCAAATGATTTGTTTATCACACAAGTGATTTCAGACAGAATTGGATAACTGATTCAACTGTAGACAAAAGTTTAGAGACAAAATATTATGTTAGATAAAAACAATAGTCTATGATAACAGTATCTGCAAATGATATGTTAGTATACTCTCCAAGCACTCTAACATGTAGACGTCATATTGAATCAGGATGCTTAAGCACAGGATGATTAATTATGATGTTAATTAATCACAATAGTTAAATTATTTGTGAGTGATTTACTATCAATGATATCAATAAATTAATAATACTTGGTAGAAATATGAATTTGGTGCAGTTTGTTTTGGGATTTTGGTTCACTAACTGATTACTACAAGAATATTTTTCAAACAAAATGAGATATACTGATTAACAAGGGATTCTGTGTGTCTTAGCTTTTAAGGAAACATCAACCTAAGCTGTTTATAGAGGTTCTTCTCAACATTCATGATAACAAAGCCTTGTCTGTGGAAACCCTTCTCAGTTTATTTGGGGTAAGTTAACCTGCTGTCTGGTGTAAATGAAAGGCAAGTGCCATGGGCATTGACTGGGCTCCACTGTTCATGTGTTGAACCAGGCCCCAGATAGGATACTACCTGCATGATTGGCGATGCACTGTAACCCAGGCATTGGCCCCATTTCAGGCATCCATTTACAACAATAATTGGTCAGTAAAGAGAAAAACAATCATAGTGACAGTTTGGGGGAAAAATGCAGCTGCTAAGCTACTTAGTCTCCTGAAAAACAGTAGCTACAAAGCTGTTTGAGAAATTGAGAATTTAGCATAACATGAGAGCCTGCACTGGTAAGATTGACAACTAACTAAAAGACCCTGCTAAGCTTGTGGTTGTTAATTAAGTTGAGTTGACATTTATCTCAATTTCATTTTCATTAATAGCATGTTAGTTGTGTTGTTGATTGCTTGTTTTTGTGACCATAATTTTTCAGACCAGCAGGCCAGATGCAAGCCAGAATGAACTGGCCGTTGAGTTTATGGAGACTTTACTTAATGGTTTGTAAGACCACTGGTCACATCATGTATTTTTAAACTTCTCTTTTGAAATGCAGCATTAAGTTTATACTTTCTTGAAAATATTGCCTTGTCATATACAAGATTTCACAAGGTTCCTATCAGCACTAATTCATACTTTTTCTTACTGTCATTTCAGACCAAAACAGGTTGGACTCGTTTAGTGCCACAGTGGTAAGTATGAATACTCTTTGCCTAGACTTTGTAGCCCATTTCACTGTAGTCTTTTTAGTCTAGTATACTCAAGCCTAGTCTTTTTAATCAAGTTTTTTTTACACGAGTCCATCATTTGTTAACTTACTTATCTTTCCTATTCTAAACTATTGTAGTTAGTCTATCCTAGTCTCTCTATTCTAGTTAACACCTACCTAGTCTTTCTATACTAGTGAGCACCAGCCTAGTTCTGTTAGTTTAGTTTGCTTTAGTCAAGTCCCTTGTAGTCCAGTTTACTTTAGCTAAGTATCCTATGAGCTTATTTAGTCTACCCTAGTCTACCCCAATCTAGTATAGCCCATTCTATCCTAGTCTAGCTTAGGTTGGTGCAGTCTTTTATGGTCTATTTTAATCTAGCCTACTTTTTTCTTTAGTGTAGCCTAACCTTCTTTAGTTTTGTGTGAACTAGTGTTTTGCAGTGTAGTTAAGTGGAACAGAGGCGTTTCTTTCTTTTAAGTCCAGCCTTGTCCTTTCTAGTCTAGTTTTGCATGGCTCTGTAATTTTCAACCAGTCCAGTGTAGCCTAGTCTTTTCTAGTCAAGTTAGTCTATCATGATCTTTTTAGTCCAGACTACTCTAACCTAGTCTTTGCTGTCTAGTTTAGTGCAGCATATTATTTTCTAGTCTAATTATTCTTATCTGCCCTCTTTATGTCTGAACTAGTCTAGCCTAATCTACACTGGCCCAAATTAGTCTACTCCTTGTCTATGCTAGACTAATCTACTTGAGTTTACTTTAGCCTATTCTAGCCTAGTGTGTCGTGGACTAGTTGAGTGAATAAGTCTACTGTAGTCTATTCTAGTCTACCCAAATATATTCTAGTCTGCATCAGTTTAGTTAAGCCAAGTCTGTTTCAATTTACTTCAATCTAGTTTAGTGTGGTTTACAGTGTAGCAAAGTCCTTTGGTCGATTTTAATTTAGTGTGGTCTAGTTTTGTCTTCTCGCTTTCAAAATAGTGTATATTTAGGCTACAATTGTAGTCTAGTTTAGACTATGCTAATGAGTCAGTTAGGGACAACACGAGTATTAAATAAACGCATTTCACTGATTAGTCATATTTATATACTTGTGATACATTACATATTTCAGATTCCATTATCTGGGATCTACCTGGAGAGAATCGGAAATAATCAAAGAAGGCGCCAAGCTACTGTATCCCATCAACACATCGTAAGTTTGATGTGCGTGAATCGGCACGTTCAAATGTTACATACTGATAGGCTTAAAGCAACTCAGTGGTCAAACATAGCGCATGCGCAAGGGGATCAACTTTTGCCGGCCGTTCGCCAATTTTCCCGCGCAAAATTTCGTAGATAAAGAGAAGAAAAAACCACTCTCTTGTCAAATAAGCGAAAAAGATAATTTGAAACGTTCGTAAAAAAATTGTAAAAGGAGACAAAAGTAGAGAAAAAGGAAAACTCGAGACTTTTTCGGACACATAGCTTCTTCAGGAAGAAAGAATGGGGAGAGGAAAGAGCAAATTTTTGTGGTGGCATTTTAATATAATTGTCCTTTGTTGGTACAAAACGAACCTCTAATGTTACCATGGTTTTACGTCTCTCCAGGGAAAATGGCAAGGAATTTGGAAGGGACACATTTCTTGACACTAGTTGTGACTAGTTTGTGTTTGTTTGAAAGCTAAGGCGACTAACTTTTGGCTGTTTTATTGCTGTTCAAATTATTAGTTAAGTCGAAATCAAATTGAGGGGAGAGGAATTAGTCGAAAGTGTCACTTGAAGGGTTTTACAATACTATATGCCCTGGGTCTAAAAAAAAATATCATTTCTGTCTTTGTAGAAGGTGGACGAACGGTAATTTTTTTATTGCGTGCGGGGGGGGGGGGGATTAGGAGTTGGTTGTGTCACGAAAACTTTTTACCTGATCCTCGCATCAGGCTCTCTAATAATCTTATCACCCCCTCCTCCCTCCCTTCCCCCCCCCCTTATTAGCAGTAAATCGACAGTCAGTTTTCCATAGTTCCCTCTTTATCCTTTGTCGGCGACCACTGATTCCACCTCCGTTTCCCCTGAAAACCATGCGACTCCCCGGAGAAAAAGTCTTCTATCCAACCCCGCCCCAACCCCCACGGCGATAAATAATGACTGGTTCCTAAGATAGAATATTCGTGAATCCTTTTGTCGCTTTCTTTTTAGCCGAACGGAGAAGGACATTTTGGAACTCGACACCCGTGGCTCGACAAGCTGTCTCCTTTTAATGGTCAGAAAGTCAATTGCTTTTGTGGTTTACTTATTTCATCTTCTATTGCTGGTTTAGTTACAGGGTCCTCTACTTGTAAGGTGCATGTCACTGAATTCTGAAAAATCTTCGAAGGTAATGAAGCTATCCTGCTTTATAGAGAACCAACGCAAGATTGGTAGCCTAGTTAGGGACTGTTCATTATAAGGGAGGGGGGGTAAGGGGATGGGGGGGTAGGGGAGGGGTTGACTGGTCTCCTTGTCAGTTCTTAGCCACGAGTGAGGAATGTGCTTATAAGATCTGTTGTATTTTGTTGTGTTACAGGCGCACTGTGTCTCCCCGGACTCCCAGGCTGCCCTTGCGCGAAGCCGGTCTCGCCACAGGCCTCCCCACAGCTGTCTCGATCTTCCTCTCGGTTTTCCAATTCTTCCCGACGATCAGCTGGCAAGGGTCCTTATCTTTCTGTCCAGCGTGGTGTAGACTCGACTGCGAGCCCTATTGAGTGTTCCTGTTGCTGCTGTAACGAGGATTTGATAAAAATTCAGGTGGATGGTTTATAATTTGGAGCGAGCTTAGCGTACTTTTCGATCGAGTGTCGTTAAAACAGAACGGTAGTCATCACAATGGCCAATCACAGCGAGGGTTAACAGCTTAGAAGCGATGAGAAATCACAGTATAACAGGCTGTAAGAACAAAGTTGCCTCACACGAGTTACAAACAATCGCACAAGTAACAGAATAGTAAATTATCGGGATACCTGTGCTTGAATAAGCTTTGTGTTGGAAAGTTTCGAGCTTTCCTCTCTCTTAGTTTTGTCTCTTTTTTTACAGATTTGTATGAAAATTTTAACGTTTTCGCTTTTTTGCAAGAAAGTGCTTGTTTCTTGTTTTCCTTTGAAATTTTGCGAGGGAAATTATCGCTCAGCCGGCGCATGCTCGACGTCTAACCGCTGTGTTCCGGGCATCTAATTGGTTGAGAGTGTGGCGCAAGTTTTCTTGGCCAATCACAGAACGAAGCACAGTAAGAATGCATGCTTAAGTGGCGTTTTTAAAGTGAATTTCCCTTGCGTAAATAACGTAAAATATGCTCGAAAGTTAGATTAACGGCTAACGTATGCAGATAAAGATCGCTAGGAGCCCATGTAAAATCAAGCAGGCTTCTTGAAGCGCGGAAAGCGCGAGTGACTAAGTCAAATTTGGTTTTGGTGTACTACTTAATTGGTACATAGGTCAGCGCGAGGTTTCTTGAAAAATCGTTTGTTCTTCGCTGACAGAAGTGAAGCAAAAGCAACGCAATACCGAAGCAACTGTTAACATTCAACTGCAAATTGACAGTGGTCCTCAAATAAGTGACAATCAACTAGGCGTAGACAACACTATGTCGAAGTAAGTATAACTGGCCAATCGCTAAGCGCGTTAAAATGACGTGACCAAGTCTTGACTGGTCTCCCTCTTGCATCAGAATGGTTGCATTGGTGGCATCATAATTTTATTCATCCTATCGTAAAACATACTTCTCTTCTGTAACTCTCAGGAAGTCCATATTTTACGACCGAAGGCTTTAATTTGAGTCAAAAGCGTCTCTATGATAAAATCTCCTTCACTGTCTCATTCATTTTATTTACTTATGTATTTCAGGCGCTTTTGTGCTCCAAGTATGTCAGCAGTGAGTTGGCTGATTTCGTCTTGAGCAAAATAGAGGGTCAGGTGATAATAAAGGAAAGAACCTCTCTCCTGCTTCTTTGTCTGCCACATGTGGAGCGACATGCTGAGGTAATACATCGATCAATTCGAAGCTTCAACACCCGCCTCTGGCAACCTCTGGGCATTTGAACTTTTGAAGATTTTGGTTTGTTAAAATCCCCCCCTCCCCGGGGGCAAAAATTGTGTTTAAATGCCCAACCCAATTTTGGGTGGGGTACCCAAAATCAGCGACCGTGATTTTCTACACATTGACCAAGCTATAAAACCAAGACCGTGTAGACCTTTTCTTTATTGCGCCATTCGCTCGCAGAAGTGAACTATTTACTTTAAACTCCCCCATATTTAAAGATATAACACTTGTTTTCCGTTGGAGAGACTTGCCAACTTCCCCAACCCCCCCAGGCACAAACAATGGTCAAATGCCCGTGGATTGCCTAGGGGAGGGGAGATGTTGAAGCTTCGAATTGATCGACGCATAAGGAAAACATTTGTTTGGAGAAGGTGATGCACTTCTAGCCTAGATGCCATTTTTCTAGCAAGATGCTAATAACGTTAGCTTTCTTTTCTCTTACTTATCTTTGTAGGCTATGGCCATTGTTTTGGACGAGTTTTCTTTAATAGCTTTACCTTATGCAAAGCACTACTTTGGTCAAAACGTGGAGAAGGTAAGTTGGGAACGGAAGGGTGTTTTTCCAGTACGCTTTTCCTAAAAAGGAATAGTTGTCTTCAACTCAAATACCTAATACCTTCTACTTAAAGCTTGATCAGGAATCACGAAGACTTGTCAGTATTTTTTACTTTTTTTCAACATGTTGGTAATAAGAATGTTTTTCTTTCTCCAGTGGTCACTTCTGGTACAAACCTTGTTGGAAATGTGTAAAGAAGAAACAGACAGCGACGATTCAGAGTCAAGAAAAAAAGCCATCATGGCAGTCCTGAAAGGTGCGAATGTAAATCTTGTGTATTATCGTTAGAATGTGTCAGTTAAGTCTTCAAATGTGCAGTAAAGTAGCCATTTAATTTTTTGTTTCTTAAGAAAACAGTTAAGTCCAGTCGGTCTGAAAATCACCTGAGTAGATTTTCTGAGCAGTCCTTCGTACCGTTTTTACAAACTTCGCTTTCGGTAACTCATTTTGAAATGTTTGTCTTACTTGGCTTCAGTCTCCAGTTGAATGTTTCCACGTTTGTTAGTAGGTGAATGTTTCCCGCCCTTCATTCCCTATCAAGTGCGCGCACTTATCAACTGCACCATGCTTTCCCGCGTGTAATACCAGTGCCATGCTTTCCCGCGCTTATTACCAGTACCATGCTTATCCGCGTTCATTGCCAGTACTCTGCTTTCCCGCGCTTATTACTAGAACCATGCTTATCCGCGTTCATTGCCAGTACACTGCTTTCCCGCGCTTATTACCAGTACCATGCTTATCCGCGTTCATTGCCAGTGCCATGCTTTCCCTCGCTCATCACCAATTACATTTTTCCAGCCCTTAAAAGCCAGTTCCATGCTTTACCATACTTATTACAGATTGAATGTCTTTCCGTCCTGTTTTATTGCTACTAATTACATGCTATCGCATGCTTATTACGCGCTGCAATGTTTACCACTATTTCTTCCTGTAGTTAAGTGTCTGCCTTGTGGCCAGAAAGAAATGGTTTCGTCCGGTCTTGTGACGTAACGATATCAAGGTTCTATATTGTTTTTTTCTTACGCAGGAACCCTTCAGCAACTCTGTTCAATAGTGACCCCGCGGGAGTTCTTAGGGCTGTTACCAAGCGACGGATGTCTCGGATTTTTCCTCCCATATCTCCAACACTGTCACAGACGTTGTGCGTCAGGCTCTGTCAGCGAGAGACTGGCGACAAGGCATCTCACAACGTAAATAACTCGTAAACAGACAAGAGGAGAGCCGCGCTTTCATCCTTTACAACCTAACATCAGTATGTATATTCTCCAAACCGTTCTCTAGACATTTCCCAGGGTGCTAACAAGGAGAATTAGGTTAAGAATCAAGAACGTCTATAGTTGATGATCACTTTCCTTTATTCTCGTGACCTCAGTGTGTGATTCAGGACTGATGTTGTAAGGAGAAATTAGATGCTAGTCATTCTGAAGGGTCAAAAGGTTTTTAAAAAGCTTAAAAGGTCTTAAACAGACTAAATCCGAAAGAGTTCGAGAGAATTTCGAACACTAGTAAATCGAATTAAAGAGCTGAGGTTTCACAAAGAAATATTCAAGGTTAATCGCCTTTTATTCAAGTGGTTTCACTTATATATTACAAACCGATTCGTTATGCGAATTTTTTACCACATTAAAGAACAATAAGCAATTATTGACTGGTCCGAAGGAGACCAGTGAGTTATTTTTGACCGAGATCCTCTTAATATATTCATCTTTTCCTGTAGCCTTTCATTATGTTATACCTCCTGACTCAAAAATTAGGAAAAAAAATATGTACGTATCCATTAAAGCTCATGTCTACATTGAGAAATGATCCAAATCCTAATTGCAAATGAAAAAGTTTGTAGGTTTCAAGATGCCAGAATTGATCACGTGCGTTGCTTCTCTGGGAAGTTGGTGAGTTTTGACCCATGGAACGTGACACATTTTGGTCCAATCGGTAAAACGTAGAGAGGCATGACAGAACAAATTGTACTTCACGCTGAACGCGAGAAAATACATTGTGGCCTACATAGATTAACCACAAATTGCTGTAGCCAACTTTTTACCGCCAAATTTTACAAACGTTTACGGAAGTCAAAATGGGGACGTTAAGCAACCCGCGACGGCAACGAGGGCATGGAAAAACAAAAGATCTAATTGGGAGAACAATAGCTTAGCACGTGCGTTTTAAAACTTTGTACATTTCCTAGCCGTCTCATGCAAAACAATAACATGAAATCATCACAATCTGCTCGTCTGCGAACCGAAACCGCGACGGCAAATTATTTTAATTTCCATTCGGAACTCAACGCTTCTTTTACACGTTGTGCTGAAATTGAGGTGTGACGCTGTAGGAGACGGTAAACACATGCAGCCGTTTTTGAAATTCTAATTAAAGGCAGAAATCCATTTTTTAATCGAAATCTTCCTTGGCGTTGCCGTCGTGACTGCTTAAGGTCCCTCATATATATTAGGCGGAAGTTACCTTCGGAAGTCAATTTTGATACCTACGACAATCGTTTTAGATTTGTAAAAAAGAAAAAAGAGTTATTGAAAATAGTAGAATTTTCCATTTTTAGAAATAAATGAATCAAAGAAAATTTTGGAAATAAGTTAACATTTAACAATTCGAAATCATTTTTTAAGAAAAAAGAACAATTTTGACTGTACCTGTCGTCTGGCCAATTACACTCTAGCGACACTTCTTTGAATGTTAAGGGTTTTAATCTCGATATTAAATAAAGAGAATTAAATCTCACTATCCCGAGCAAAGAATAAACCTCTATTCTATTCCCACTCTGTCGTTCCTGGAGGCTTGGAAGTCAAATCATAGAGAACTCGTGAAATTCCTTGTACTTCTTTCAAAGATGCCACCATTTCATTCAAAACCTGAGAAAAAGAAATAAAATATATTAATTGCTTGGTGATTGAGATGCGCGCGCTCTGATTGGTCGAGGATTGCACCATATCTCGCTACAATCAACTCGCGCGAGGTGATTATAGCAGGGGTGCTGAATTTCACATTGGCTGCCCGGCATTTTGTCAATGTGTCCGAGGAAGTAATAAAAGCGATAGAAGAAAATTAAATTGCGAAGAGCACAAAACATGCTACCGAGTTCGACGGAACACTTCTCAAAAGTAAGATGTGATGTTTCTGCTGATTAAATAAGACAAACCTGTTAAAACACAATTGTAACGTAATATGCCCAATGCTTTCTTTATTTAGAGACATTACAACGAATTTGAAGGTACCTGAGCAATTGTACTAAAAAAATTAATCGCCTCAGTGAACATTGTTGAAAAATCCATCGACCCGCATCTTCTCGCGCATAGGGAAGTTCGGTTGTTTTCACCTAGAGTTTTCACTGGCTTCTCGTGATATTTACCTTCGCACTGGTTGGCTGTGATTATTATCTTGGTCTAGTATTACAACACTCAATATAACCTGGCGCTCTCTAAAATAGCCAAAAAACCATGCGTTCTTCAGGCGTGCGCAGACAAGCGAGAGGCGAATGCAAGAGGCGAGTCACACGCGACAGGAGGAACGCGAAAAAAATTCTCCACGCGCTAAACTCGCGCTTTTCTCGCGTCTGCTTCTGCTTGCCTTAATAGCTAAGAATTTAAGCCTGTTTTGGAAGCTCTCTATAAAGTGAGATTTTTACCTCGATAGGAATTTGCTTCCCAGGTGTAGCGGGCACTCCTGTCATAAAGTCACTCGTAATAAACGTTCTGATCACAACAGACCGCTGACAGGATGGAATGTGGTCGATAGGATCGCGGTCGAAGTGGACTGGTATCAAAACAATCGGCATTTGGCTTATTTTGTCTACAATACCTGGAGAAAAAATTCAAATAAAATAGATACACGATAAAGTAAACATTCTTGTTTAATTTTCCAACTGTTCCATTCATTTGTGGGGCGATCTCTGGAGAAACACCCTAAGAAATCTACTATGAGTATTTGGGAGAGAACTATGTGACGTTCCTTCTCACCCTCCCTTCCCAAATATTTACTATTTTGTTTTAAGCTTTACCGAAGAAGCTATACACTTCTAAGACACAGTGTCTTACTGGCGTGCGTTTGTCTGTTACTTGTGTAGGACATTTTGGCTCTTAAAAACAAATCATTACAACTTTCTTACAAGCGCAAACGTTCGACCCCTGTGTTCACACCATTATTAAAGCCATTCCCCCCTTCATATCACACTAGACAACAGCAGTTCCTTACCATGTTTTTGAATGACAGAATACGCCACGTGGTCTGCTTGTTTTAAAGTGCTTATTACACCTGGTGACAAGAATGTGGGGGTGATGTCTTGAATCTGGAACTTGATTCTCTTGCCGAACGTGTAACAAACTCTGAACAAAATATGAAGGAAAAAAATTGTAAGCCTCAACGTTGGAATAAAAGTGTTCACATGAGAAAACCCCTTATCTGAATGTCAGAGTTACCCAATCTGCCAAAACTATTGTCGCACCTTCACAGGAGGGAAACAAAGGGCTTCCAATCTTTGAAATGTGTCGGTCAGTGAGAAAAAATATCAATTCGTATGAAATAAAAACATCATACCACGAAAATTGCTTGAACGATTTTTTCTTCACTAGTTGTAATGCATCCCTCACTCGTTCGCCGCGCAAACTCGTTCGTTTTCATTATGCATCGCAACTCGCGAATAAAAATTGTACGGACGCATCTTCCATTGAATAATCTCTATGACTTGAAGGGGGGGGGGGGGCTAGGGGGTAGATAATCTCTTTGTCTCGCATACCTACATGTGCAACTACATCAGATGAGGCCTTCAATGAATCAATCCGTTTACAAAAATACCGACTTAAAAATTGTATTAAAAGGAACAATTATCCTCGTAACAAGAAATTAGACGATAGAAAAAGTAAGTATTGCAACTTTGAAGTCATTGCAAGCCATATGATAGAGAGTTAATGGAGTAAATTATATATACTTCCAGCTGTATAAACGAATGTCTGGAATAACAATCACCAAATGAACCTTCGTAAGGTAGAACATAGGCTATAATGGTGCTAGTAGAAACTACACCCCAAGAGTGGGGACTGAGGCTAATAACTAGAGAACGAGACGAAAAAAAAGCGACAAAAAGATGGAAACTGGGGAGGTCCAATCACGTCACAGCATCACGGTACTGCAATTACTCCTTCCCAGTTCCTCGATTCTTCGACACTTCTTGTGGCCCAGTTCTCCAGTCATTAGCTCCATCCTCTGCCGGCCGGGGAGCCTGGTATAAGGCTACTATAGTAAAAGAAAATCACCTGTTGATATTATGACAAACTTTGGGGATTAGTTTAGCGAGGAACATCAGTGATTTCCAGTCGGGTGAGTCGTTGCTCGATAAAGCCACCACATAACTGTAGGTCCGTCCGTCTCCCTGGACACCAACTGATTTGATTGGCAGCAGGGTGGCACCAATTTTGTATTTTGATGTTATCTGCAAAAGGGTTTCTCTGTCGTCTTCTGATGTACTCAGTTTCACCCGACTGAACAGCGAATGGGGCTAAAAAAAACCCATCAAGAATAAACAGTTAAACCATTTGAACTATACTCCTTTCAACTCACAATATCACCCCTGAATCACACATAAAGGTCACGAGAATAAGCTCTTAATTGTTACCCAAATCCACCTTGTCAGCACCTTAGAGAATATGAATGGAGATTATGCATACTGAGTGCTTTTCTCGAGAACAGACTTTAGGCCTGCCATACGAGCTCCAGGCACTAAAACCTTCGAGGTTGATACAAACGATTCTTGTACGTAAACGGCTCACCTTCTTAATAGCTGTAACAAAGTCTACAATCTGTCCCAGGATGATATTTGTTTCCGCAAAGTCGCTCCCCTGATAAGGTTCATCACCGCATATGATACGAATAGCCAGACCAGGGCCAGGGAAAGGATGTCTTTGAACAATGTCTGCTGGTAAACCCAACTCCCTTCCAAGTGCTCTGACTTCATCTTTGTGAAAATCTACCAGGGGCTCAATGACTCTTCCCTAAAAAAGTAAGTGTGAATGATTCAGACTCTCGCAGCGCGCCCTATCAATTACGAACTTATGCACAGGAGGAATTAACTTTGAAATACATGTCCTGCATGTATATTGGCAAGTAACCAACTGTAACTAACATGCGAACGAAAACTTTAGAAAAAGAAGCCTCCAAAAAACATAGACTCCAACGGGGTTTGAACCCGTGCAATTAGAGCTAAAGCCCAAAGGGCGTCTGGCCAGGCTGTCGCGGCCACTTCCGGTTCTTTCTCTGGCGGTTTTGGACAGTGGAATGGGCACCAGCACCCCCTGAAACCCCACACTTCAACATCAGATTTTGGGAGCGAGGCAAAGGTAACAGTCCTGACTTAACCGACAACTGAGCACAACGGCCAACGTAAGAACTTTCTACTCAACTGATCATCCCGTAAGAAAGCTATGTGGGCTCCACCTCACCTGTGCGCGTAAACTTCTAACAAAGTCTGTATCATTATGGTGAGTTTTGATGGCATCTGCCTTGTTACTGGCCAGTGATGAAGCACTTTCAATAAGGTCGGGTCGAAGAGTACCTGTAGATCATTATTATTGAAAACACAAACAAACAAAAAGATGAAACCATTTAAAAACCATGGCAAATTCTGTGGAATTGCCGCCAGTGTCTAATGTAAAGAGCTGTCTGCATTACTACGGTTGAAAGCGTTCACTCAACAGTGGAGCTCCATAGCTGTCAAAATATGTTTAAATTATTCGGTCGTGACGTCACGGCAGTAGACGAAAGAACAATGCTGAACAAAACGTATTAATACCAATAAAACAATTTCAAACTTTGCAACCAAAGGGTTAACAAGTACATTGTACTGCTAACCTTGTGCCAAGTACGTATTGGTCTCATCAAGGTTTAACTCCTTGCATACTTCATTGGCAACCTGAAATCAAATCCATCATTATTAAGATTCATGATTATTCAGTCACGTTCTGAAACTTAAATAAAAGTATGCTCTTTATCAATGTCGAAAAGTGAAGTGCACTGACTGCTGAGTATGTCGATAACACAAACATAACACAAAGGAACAAGCCAAAGCACATGTCAAATGAAATGCTCCATAAACTGGTATTTTCCCTAAAGAGGAATTATTGGAAGCCTGTAATTTGGATAGTTTGGGTTTTCCTAGCAAGAAATTCTGTATACTGCAAAAGGGTTCATGACAGTTTGTAAATATTGCGGATCTCAATGATTTTTTTAAACCCCAACCTCTTTTGAAACATCCCTTCCCCTGCCATCCAATAAACCCCACTCCCCACTCCCAAATAAGCTGTGCATCACAACAAATTAAGACATATCAAAAGAGACTGACCTTGATGAATGTGTCTCCTATAATTCTCCTCTTTTCCTCGGGGTCAGTTGTCACATTCAAGGTTTTTGTTACCTGTTTTTTAACAGGCGATTGGTCTTTTTTACCAGATATTACGGTTGTGCTGTTATAAAATCGTAATGCAGCATTTACAACTAAGGATCAAACAAAAAAAGAGACTAAGTGATCTGAGGCATTTTCCATCATTGCCTGCCCATCTAAGCAACAGCTGCAGGTGTAGGAATTACCTAAAATGCACATACAAGTTTGTTATGTCTTGATGAGAATACCTAGAATTTGTTAGTTTGCTCAAAACTGGAACAACACAGACAGAATTGAGTGAGCTTGGATGGCAAAATGGTGAAGGCTTTTGTCATGCTACACAGTATATTGCCACAAATATTCATTTCCTAAACTTTACATCAAATGTGGGTTAACCCTGAGAGTGGCTCTTGACCTTGTCCTCCAGTTCTCCAGTTTTTATATCCTGCACCAAAAGACAGCACCTCAAAAACCAACCTCACAAGTGGAAGAAACTTGTGCCATGGAGGTAATAGCTGAATTAAATTTATATTTATACTGTTGCAGTTTCTCTCAATAGCAACTAAAAGGTAAGGTTAAGTTTGCTCTTGAGCCAGGTGACCCTCCCAAACACAGTTTCCTTAGCATGAAGTGATTAGGAGTATTACCACTCCTCCCTGAATGGGATGCCAGTCCTATGCAAGGTTACCTCCCTGCATTTCATCAGGCTTCCCTGACTATTTCCTGTACCCATTTACACTCCTGGGTGCCTAAGAACACAATGCAATGACCTGGACAGGTATTAAACCCAGACCTCTCAACCTGGGGTCCTGTGCACTGATCATGGCATCTGCCAGTAATACAAACCAAAGTTACCTTTCAATCTAAGCCCTAATCGTTTAAGAGATTCCTCTACTTCCTGACTCTCATTCTTCCTCATAAATCCATTGTCAATATGTACTGCCACAACTTGCTCAGGGCGAAGGGCCTGCAATACACTGTAATTTACTAGGGTTTTCACTACAAAGTGTAGCACCAGTTAGAAAGTGTAGAGTAACAGGAGGATGCTCTCTACATTTGATTAACCCTTTAACTCTCAGAAATGTCAACTTCTAACTTCTCACTAAAATATCCATACATTATCCAGCAAACAGGTAATGAGAACGCTCAAACTTATTGGCTAGAAGTTATGATCTTAAAGTCTGTAGCAGTTACAGGGGATAATTAACAAACAGGGCTAGGTTGCTCAAAGCTGGGTTAAGATGACATTGAAATCTGATTTGAAATCATATTTGAAAGCTTTCAAGGAAAATTTAGTAGGATTCTTTTTGTCGACAATTTGATGATTGGTTGTTCTTAAAAGAATAGAACAAATAACCACAAAAACGGAAACAAAACGCAATAACAAAAAAAAAAAAACAGCTGGATTACAGTTCAACCTTGGGTTAGTGCTAATCCACCTTTGAACATCTAGGCCCAGATTTTGGGATTTTAAGGATTAGTGATAGGTTAAAAATGACTATAAAATGTGGTAAGAATTAAGAAGCAGCACACAAGGCACAGCTGAGTGCGTCACTGATGTTTTCACCACATTTTTGACATCCTGGTGTTCTATTACTTTTCAGACCCACTGCAAATATAGAATCTTCTTGTTTTATATAATAAATAAGCAAAAAGCAAAATTACCTTGTGAAGCAGAGCTGCACAGACTGTTGAATCTACCCCTCCACTCACCAATGCCTGAAAAAAACAAACAAACATTCAAATAAAATCAATCAATCTAAATTTAAAAATTAATTAATTGGTTGAGAGTGTAACATGAACACTCCAAGGAGAAATCAATAAGAAGCCAAAGATTACAGTCTTAAATTGGACTAGTTCTACTGGCAATCAATTCTCTGGTTCAAATGCCTAATTCTGATTTGCATACAAGTAAGACAAAGGTTAAGTACTCATGCCTACTTACCAAAACATTCATGTTACCAACACTCTTCTTGATTTGCTGAATACAGGTGTCTACTCGACTTATCACAGTGTATGTTCCACAACATCCCGCAACCTAGTAACAGTTGAGAAAAATGAAAAGTTGCAATTAAACTCTTTTAATCCCAAAGTCTGATTGCTAATTTTCTCCTCTAGCTGCTGTACATTTCCTTTTGAAATCATTTATAACAACTTTATTGGGTACGTCTACGAATAGACGGACGCCAATTGGGTTAGTGCAGCGGGACATGGAGTCCCATACGGGGCACTACCCCTCTTAAATCCACCCAACCCAACCCAGGGGAGGACATCCATCACACAGTAATCTCGTACGTGGGAAATTAACGTCTCCTACCCCAAACCCTGCAGGAGACGGGACCTCCGGCTTAACGTCTTATCCGAGAAGACGAAGCAAGGTGAGTGAAGCGGCTTGCTTAAGGCCACAACATAGTGCCCCGGCCAGGACTCGAACCCGGGCCGTCCGACCCAGAGTCCAGCGCTCAGACCACTGGACCACTCACGCCTCAAATAGTTGAAAGAATTTCCTGTTAGATCAAGAAAACAACCTCTACCTGATAAGTTTGAATATTCTCAATACCTATTTTGTGGATGATGTATGGATATTATAGGGAGAAGTTACATGTTAATCACTTCTGGGAGTTAATAGGTTAATATTATATCATTTTCCAACAAAAAAGTGACCATGGAAAGGTTTTCTTTTACACTATCATCTCATCAAAGGAAATGCGACCAAACAGCCTAATAACCAGCTAGACCTAGATAAAAAAAATACAAATTTAGACATTGAATATTTACCCCGTAAAGGAAATTTCTTAACATGACAACACCATTTTCTGTGAGATCAACTTCTGGATGAAACTGGACCCCATACAACTTTCGTGACTCATCCTCAACACCTTATCAAAGGAGAAAGATGCTTATTAAAAAGTTCACTCTGGAAATTACAGAAGATAATAATAACAAAAGAACTATCAGGAGAAAATTTGCTCTTCTCATCAAGTGATCCTGTGTTCTAGAACATAAACACTGTGTTGAGAGAGGATGACCACTTATAATGATATACTGAGTCACCACAATGAGATTTTTAACCCTTTTAACCCTTTAACCCATAAGAGTGACTAGTATCTAACACTAAGGTCAGGAGAAGAAAGGAACTGATCACCTGCAAAATAAGTTCTTGATTGTTATACAAATTCTCCTTGTCAGCACCTTAGGAAATGTATAGAGAACAGTATGGAGAATATGCATACTGATGTTAGGGTGTAAAGGGTAAAAGAAGCAAAATGCGTCCTTTAACATTACCTGCAACAATGTCACCAGACTTGGCAATTACTTTCAAGCTACTTGCAACGCGGTCAATTGAATCTCCATGCGTCAACAGAACTTCTTGCTCTGACTGTAGTCCTCTAGATGAATCAAAAGAGATGAATATTAACACTGGAAAGTACTCTACATGCAAAGAGTGCATTCATGAATAAAAAATTTTGTTGATATCATATCCTTAGGCCAGCACCACACTTGATGATTTTTATTCTGCAATCAAGGCAAATTTAATAGCTAGCTGAAATCCCCAATATCTGACATGCCAGATATCAGGGATTTTAAATGCAGGTTATGCTGATTGATGAGAATCACCACCTCTGTACTGGGCACACCTGGCAATTTTTTATGTTCGCCGCAATTGATGTATAAAAATCATCAAGTGTGTTGCTGACTCTGGTGACCCATAAGGAGAGTGAAACTTCCCAGAGAGGGTATGTGCATGAGGGATATAAAATCTGCTGCAATGAAGCAGTGAGATGAGAGGCAAGTGAATGGTGACAGAGCGACTAAGCAAGTAGAGGGGACAAGGCATTTTTAAATGGGAAATAGCACAGGACCCTGGCCACAACTGAGAAAGGAAAAAAAGTTCATCAGAGCTAAAAACTCAGCAATTTTGAAAGTTGCAGTCTGGTGCCCAAAATCATAAATTGGTCACTAGCAACAACTTTTTTGCAGCTATACAAAGAAAAAAAACAACAAATCAGACTTTTTAGACCAAAACAAAAAGAATTGGGGTTGAGTCTGCTAATCTAACATTGGATTGCCTGGCCAGAGTAAGTGTTGCTTCCATCAGTATACACATAAACTTCTAAAAGGCACTTTATCCATGGACTTGGTCCAGCACATGCTTCTTTTAATAAACATAAACCTTTACCAACCTGAAAAGTGCCGAGGATGTTTCTACATTGATGTTGAACTGTCCATCTTCCCTGATATCTTTCTTCATCACAGTCCCACCAAACTCTTTGTTCAACATCTTTGTTACCAGACAAAAGAAAAAAAGGTTTATTGGTATTTTTACTGATGTCATGAAGCCATTATTGACCAAGCTTACTTGGTCAAGGTAGTTCCCAACTATAGGTCTTGTTCTTTCTTGTGTTTCAACCCTTTAACCCTTAAGAGCAACTGTCTTCTAATTTCCAGGGCGTGAAATTAATTTTTTTTTTCTGAAAGCCACTTGACTCCTAAATTCTTCAAAGTGGTAGCCAATTCAAAAGTTGGTCGCCATTTTCAAAGACAAACAAAACCTTTTTCTTACGCAGTCAGTGTTTTACATAGACCCTCCAAAATTAAGTTAGGGAAAAGATCTTTAACGTGCTACAAAGTGGACACTAGGATGGATGATATACAACGTTCAAGCTCACCTAAATCCAGGATGGTGTCTAGTCATTGATCGAGATGCATGTGCTGCATTTTGGAACCAAACTTAACAAGGAAGGTTGCCATGGATTTATCTTTACAAATCATTTCAATTCTCCATATCTCTTAGTAAGGTTATGATGAAACATTCTTGTCACCAATTTGGCAACTAATTTTCAGGATTTCTGGTCGCCAAAGTGAAAAATTTAGTCGCATTGGTACCTGTATTAGGCGCAATTTCACACCCTGATTTCTCCTAACAGTATTACCCCTGAGTCAACCAGTAAGGTTATAAGAATAAAGGAAAGGATCACCAGCTACAGAAGGTCTTGGTTGTTCAACAAATTTTCTTTGTCAACACCTTAGAAAATGTATGGAGAACATTCTCAAGAATATACATACTGATTTTCAGGTGAGAAGGATTAATGAATTCCTACAGAGCTTAGCATACATCTGAAGAAATGCTTGGTTGATAATGCCTAAAGAACCTTTTTGACATCACTGCTTTACCTGCATTCCGTAACAAATCCCTAGGACAGGAATTCCAATGGTAAATATAGCTGGATCGTATTTAGGAGCATCCTCAGCATAAACACTATTTGGACCTCCAGAGATGATAATAGCTCTGAGATACAAAAAAATTAAATTGATAAGTTAAGAGGAAAAGGTATGCCACAGAAATCACATAACTCCACTGTAAAAAAGGCCCATCAAATGATCATTCACCAAAGTGGAGGCAAATACCAACCACTTTCAACATCAATGAGGCCAATAATTGTTTTTGTATGTGTGACAGATGAAACATAAGATTAACTTACTGTACTCATTGGCTTAAGCACCAAGGACACTTAATTAAATTTAGGGATCTTGAGAGTAGGCACCTGTTTGAGATGGGTGCTTTCTTATTGAATTTTCACCATTTTCAGCCGCAATGGTAAGTTTATTTTTCAACAAAACAAAAAATAATAACAATAAATGAAAATGGACCATAGGGAGTGCATTTAGAGATTGTAAAAGCCAGTAAAAAAAAAAAATTAAAAAAAATAATAATAATAATCATTCATCCTTGAGCAGTAATATAAGGTTGAGTGCTTAATCAAATAAATACTGTATTTCTGTGAATGAAAGTCTCATTCCTTCCCTTAACATCTCTTAATTGATTCTTTGAACAGTAAGGAGCCACACAAAATAGCATTCTGACCACAGTTATCAACTTTTTAAATTATCCCTAACATCAATATGCATATTCTCCATACTGTTCTCTATACATTTCCTTAAGTGCTGACAAGGAGAATTTGCTAAACAATCATCTTCTGTAGTTTGTGGTTTTTCCTTCATTCTGGTGACCTTAATTTTTGAATCAGGGGTGATATTGAAAGGAGAGCTAAGTCACTTTGGTCACTCTCACTCTTAGCAGTCAAAGGGTTAAAACCAGGGAAACATTTTTGGGGAAACCATCTAAGATGATATGCATGCACAGCCAGGAAACTAAATTATTTTGAAAATGTCTGTGTCTATAGTAGAGCTTTTATCATAACTGAAGTTTACATTATTCTCTTACCTAAAACCTTTTTCTCTTATAGTGTATATAGATGTGTCCAGGGGGAGCATCTCTGACTCCACGCATAGTTCACGGACCCTGCGATCTATGATCTATTGAAGAAAACATTTCAGCACTATTAAAAATGATCAATACATAGAATCCTTGATAGTGAGCATGGAAATATTTAGATAAAGAGGGGAAAATCTAGCCTAGATAACTTTTGACGACTAAAAACTGCTCTATCATGATCATCATCATTGAAATATTATCATCATCATAATCAGCTTTAACAAAATTTTTAAATGTGATTGGCTATCACCAACTGATTTGAGCCCTAGTAGGGCACTGTATACGTCAGTGATCTTCTTTATACCCGAAAAACAAATTTTAACCAGTTACAGTACTTTTAATTTTTATTTTATTTCATCATTTTTTTCTTACAAAAAATTAATGGTTCCGCAGGTTCTGCCAGCTCCAGAGGTTCTGCAGTCTGCTGATCCTTGGTTTAGTAAGACCCTATCTGGAAGGTTGTTTCGAGCAGTGATTGAAATGAACAAGTCTACTTGTAGCTCGTAGTCATGTAGTGTTTTCATGCTATTAGCCTATCCTTTAGAACAATTTACTTTCAACAATGGAAAAACACAAAGCTAGCTTACACATACCAATGAGACAAATGTGTCAAGCTTACATGCATATATACGAAATTTAGAAGGGCACGTTTTTATTTGTGCATACCTACATGCAAATTTATGCATGTTTTGTGTGAGTTTTATGGTTAACGTACATCTAAGCAGTACTTTACATGCCCAGTGTAACATGCAAATCAAACATCAACTTCTGATGTTGGAGTTATTTCCAATATTTTTGAGGCACACAACTTGTACTGGAAATTGAGTAACCAGCAGACAATTATTAAGACCCAATAACCAATCCGACCTTGCTAATCTGCACTGTACATTTCGAAACAGAAAATCAATTATCATGACTGACCGAAATCAGCCTGTTTTTTTATCACGTTTTTACAAAATTTCACCCTCGTGGGACCAATTTTCTCGAGACCTCAAATTAAGGATCGTTTTAGTCGAAAAACCATTATTACATCTGGAGGAGATATGAGACCGAGAGCACGAGAAGGTCACTTAGATCTAACTGCATCCTTCTTTAAAAGAAAAAAAAAAATTCTTTGGTTTAACATATCAGATTTCAAAGTCTTGTCTACTGCACATTTATTTCTCTTTCATTATCGTGCTTCTACGAAAACCAGATAAAATTATCGTAAGCACCGACCCATTTCTTGCGATGCAACTTACATTTAAATTCTTTATGAAATCTACATGAAAAAAAAACATTACGATTACTTTTGGCTTACTTGTATATTTTTCATTACGTTTTAAACAAAGTGAAAGGGTAATTTCACCTTTCCATATTGCGCCCCAGCATCTAGAATGGCTACTCTCTCTTGTCCCATTTGTGCTTCCGACATCGCGCTATCGTTTTGAACAACGTGACCGTTAATACACGAACCCATTCCAGCAACTTTGCTGAGGTTCGACGCCATTTTCCACTTCGATTCCCGCGGTTTGCGCAAATTAGCGCATGCTTCTTAGTCAGCGGCGCATTGCCGCAGCTTTCTCCGAGCAGTGTCCGAACCATTATCCGAAAGTCCGAACCAACTCCGAGTAACTCTTCGTCAATATATGCGGAAATATTCATGCCTCTAAAGAGAGATAGTTACGATGGCGGATAAAGCGCGTCTGAACCATTTGTGGAATCTGGCCGTGAATTGCGCAAAGGAAAACCCACAGTTGTCTCAATTCTACGTGAACGAGATTCGCTCTACTGAAGAAAATGGTGACGCTTCACTGGATAATTTTAAGTTGAAGTATTGTAAGCATTGCTACATGGTATTTAGCGCTGATAATTGTCGCGTGAGATTGCACCCTAAGCGTGGAAAGAAAAAGAGACTTGACGACAAAAAATGTCGCTCTAATAAGGAAATACTTAAACTTCACCGAAGACTAAACCATGTCGGGGTATTTTGCAAGACGTGTGGAAAGCATTCATTTTATCCTGGACGCGCAGGAGACGACAAAAAATCCACACTTGAAAAGAAAATTTCGTTCTCTGCGCCGCAGAATTTGCACAACAATAGCACAAATGAACAGAGCACTCCTGTTTCATCAAAATCAGCGAGTTCCCGGAGAAGAAGTCACAATTCTACGCTAAAAGATCTTCTACGAGCAGATGATCGGAAAAAATCAGCCACTGGTGCAACTCCTCAACTAAAGGATTTCTTGTCAAGTTTAGGACATTCCATTTCCCTTACATGAAACAAAATATAACCGCTAGAAAACAGATCTGAACTTGCTTATGGAAGATATAATTTCGCTTGATGAATTTGACTAAAATTTGCCAAAATCATAAAATCCATGAACAGTCACTCAGTTTAAAAAAATTTTTGTCAAATATTCCATTTTCATTACTGCCTCATTTTTGGACATAACTGAACTATTTAACATAAATGTTTATCTTATTTAAATGAATCTAGACATGGATAATGGAGAGGTCCTGATGGGATACAGGCAGGTTACATAGTAGTGTCTCCTAGACTGAGCAATTTGTTCAGCATGTAAGTCATAAGACTTGAATAGAACCAATGGTTATTAACCATGGCACTGCATTTTTGAATCGCAAAATTATCTTAGTATATCATTATGTAGGTATCTAGGCACATTTGACTTGCATACAAGCAAACGGGCAAGTTTATGTCTAACTTCTGAAGCAAGTTTGTAGAGTTAGGGTGATATTTTAAAGAGAAATTAGAAGCCACTCACTCCTAGGGGTGAAATTGTTAAATAATTCCCCAGTAAGTGTCTTCAAATTCCTTCTCTTCTCTTTCCTCAGTAACAGCAGCTATGAATAAGTCTTCTGTTAGATACAGTGGCAAATTATCTCTCATGCTTTGAACTTTGGAAAGAACTGTGAGGATGTCTACATCTTCATAGTGACTAAACATATTATTTTCCGGAATGAAAAAATGAGGTAAATTTTTGGCTTTCAGACATGACAAAAGTTTATCAATAAGGCTTAGCAACAAAGCACCTCGACCACAAGATTCTCTTGTTTGCTTGGGCATTGACTCCAGAACCCAAAACATAACAGTTTTCAAGTGATAGGAAGCAACAAGCTTTGGTTCTTGCAAGTATTTCCTTCGTAAAGCCTTAACTACCATGAGCACTTGCTTCTGCCATGGCACCATAGCAGAACTGAGAAGCAGCTCAGCTGAGCTGAAGCTGAATCGCCACTCCAACAGCTTATTTGTGGTATGAGGATGAGGCTTTGCAAGCAAGTAACTTTGAAGACTGGAGACTGTCTCCACTAGTCTTTGATCAGGCCAGTGTCTTCTTCTTCTCAGCCATGCATCTTTGATATCTGCAGGAACTTGACAGAGTATAGCAGGAGCTATGTCTATAATCTGATTTTCCCAAGATGTGCCACTCTGCGATCCTTGGATGGCTGACAGTGTGTCAAAAAGTGCTCCTACTGCTGTGTCTGGCCAAGCATCAGAGTCAGGCCAAATCAACATGTTGATGGGCTCTTTAAGGAAAATGGTCATAACTGGATAAAAATCCTCCACATTTTTACGTTTCATTCCAAGCTCAAGGCCTAGGGAGGGGTTGAATTTTGTTCCCATCACATGCATCACTGCATACTCCACTCGTCTCTCAAACATCTTGACAAATTTGTGGGAAAGGAACAGTTCTTCATTATGTATTTCATAAAGCATTGTGAATGGATCCACCAGATCTTTTAGTGCTGGTGTATCTTGTATTGAGATGCGAGTAGCATCTAACACTTTCAAATTGACATAACCTGGATTAGGTCCTTCCACTGAAACACATTTCAGTGCTTCACTGTCCCCTTCAGTGGCAATGGCATCTGGTAAGATAAGCATGAAATCCATCTCCTGTATAATTCTTCCATCATCTGTACATTCGGCAATGTGACAACCCTCAAACATGCTTCCCACAGGCAAAACAGTTTTTCGTAGTTGGCTTGATATCCGTTGTTCCATTATTGCTTCAAAAATTACTTTGTGCTGAGCCATATTGAGAAATAGGAAATTCTCATACTTGAAAAGGGCTCTTTCAATCTCTAGCTGTTGAAGTTGAAGTGACTTAGCCTTTGTAAGAAACCTGAAAAGTAAGAAGAATATTAGCTTTTCTTCACATAACATTAGCCAATGAGAAGGCTCCTCCCATGCAAATTAACACAGAGATGAATGATGAACACAATACAGAAGAACCTCACTAACTCAAACTGCCAAAGGAAACAAAAATTATTTGAGTTAGCTGATAGTAAATGCCTGGAAAGATGGGTCATGGGAAATTGGATCTTGAGTGAGTTGATTTAGCAGGGTTCTATTGTAGAAGATCTTGCTGACCATTGGCTCATGCATTACCCTTTCTTCCTAGCCCCAAACGAATACCTGTCCCTAGGTAAAATCTTTCAGCCAAGTAGCTTTTAAAAGCCAGCTATTGCTGGACATGCTTAATGTAGGTGTTTGGTTTGGAAACTGGGTGCATCAGTAAATGGCTAGAAGGGAGTCATGTGGCAAAATGTGAGGGAGGCCTAGGTCAGATTAAAGAAAAAAGGGAAGTTGGGTTGCATCCTGATCCATCCCATATCCTTTCTGCTTGCTGGTGATATTATTGCACTAATTAGCAGGGCCCTCTGTTTCACTAACCAAACACTTGGAACAAGCTTTGCATGGATGGGAAGCTGATCCATCACATATAACCTCCAGGCCTTTATTTGAGGATTTCCTTGATAGCTCTCTAAAGCCAGTCTACACTTCAAGTGGATAGAGTAACAAGTCTTGTCCAAGAACACGAGTGTCAGCCATAGTCAACTGTTTAATGAGATCAAGACAGGACTGGTTGACAGTAACTAATGTTTTGAACACCTGAACAGACTTGTACTAGTGCATTATTGAAAATCTTTGGGTTAGTGAGACTTCAATGTGAAGGCTAAATTTAAACAAATATTTTATTTTCACAATTATAAACTTAACAAATTAATACCTGCTTTAACACTATTTACTATGGAACCATTCAATTACACCCTCAAGTTGACTAAATTATGTAAAAATAGTCATTGAGAACATGGCTGAGAGATTTCTACAGTAGTCATCAGAAAAATGCATGTCATGTTCATGAAACATCCTTTTCTCTCAACCTCTTCCCTTCCAAGGTCAAAGAATAAATTCTTCATACTCTTGGCCTCAGTTTTCTTACAATTTTGGACCTGAGAATTTGGTATAAATCAAACAATATCTTCCTTTTTAATAAATTTTTCACTCCTCATTACTTGTTTGCTTAAAAATATGTCAATGTTATAAGGAGAAATTCACTTTTGGGAATAAAATATTTAAACAAACTGCAAGACTTTTTGAACTAAATCATCACCATTAGCTCTCAACTACTCCTCTTGAAAGAGTTCAGAGGTCAAATAATCTAAAAGGTTTCTTTGAACTCTTTTCAACTCCTTAAGTGTAGAACTTATGTCACATGCATTCAAACCTTCCAACATATTAGCATGTGGATTAAAAAAGTGAGGCAAATTATTGCTCTCCAGGAATGCAGTTAATTTGTCCAGAAGGTGCACGAGTAATTCACCTCTTCCCATTTCCTGTCTTTTTGCCAGAGGTGTTGATTCTAAATGCCAGAAAAACACCATTTTGATGGAATGAGATGTGAAGACTTTTGAGTCATGAAAGTATTTTTCCTTTAGAGCTTTTAGAATGACAATACATTGTCTTTCTTTAGGCCCAGTTTCAGAGAATAACAAAAATTCTGCTCTACCAAAAGTTATCTGAAATGCCATCACCTCTTCGTCTATTGCAGGTCCTGTTTCATCCCACAAGGGGTGTAGATAACAAGGAGTCAATGCAATCTCTTGTACAGATTTCATACTGGGCCATTGTCTCTTCCTTTGAAGCCAGTTCTCCATTGCAACAGCAGGCCAGCTACATTCCAACACCACATGAACTTTAAAAATGCGAGCTGGCCAGAAGGATGAACTCCAGTTGATGAGATTCACCCACAACATTTGTGCAGTTGTCATTGCATTTCCTGACCAGGTATTTGGATCTAATGGCAACATATCCAGATGATCACAAATTTTCTTGAAAAATGTTACATCAAGTGATGCAGAAAGTTCCACATCTTGCCTTGTTTCAGACCTGTGAACAATTTCCATGCCACCAGGCTTTTTTGCATAAACCTTACTAAGTGAATTCCAAATTTTACCTTCCATTGCTTGCATAAAATTTCTTTTGATATAAAAACCATCACTGCAATGTCTCAGATAACTAGCTGTTTGATCGATGCCCATATGTTCCCACTCAATAACTGATGGGTCTGACATCTTAACGAGCACTTGGTGGGTTTTCCCATCAACCTGGGTATACTGAAAAGTTCCTGTTGATTCTTTAGCCGTGGGTGTTGCAAGCTGAACGAAAAAATCACATTCAACTGCAATTTCCAATCTACCGTTTATCTTCTTTGGAAGGAAACATCCCTCAAATGCACTTCCAATCAACACACAGTTGTCTGTTTCCTTGCCAAACGATTTAACAGCCCTCAGAATAGTTCGATGTTGCAGAGGAACAAGGAGAAATAAGTCGTCATACTGTCTTACTGCTGCTTCAAGATGTAGAGTGTTAGAAATCTGAAAGAAACTGAGTATTTCCCAAGGCTTTCCATTCTGTGTAAACCTGAAGATGCACACGACATATCAAGCTACATTTATAATTGTTCATTTTCGATTTTGTTTTACACAGATCGCGGAGGGAAGATACTAATAAGGTCATAACAGAAATAAACTTTTTATTTTAGATTATTTAAATGTCGATTTTATCTCATGAAAACATTTCCAAGTATCGAAGATCACGTGAAACACTTAGGCTGTGAACAGTAGAAACCCAGAAATCCCGTCAAGTGGTACAAAAGAAATTCTTACCTGAATACAAAGGCGACTATCAGGGAAGCAAAAACAAGGCTACAAATTACTGTAAGGATCATGATGAAACCCACATCGAAAGATGGTAAATTTACGATGTTTTGTACTTACTCTCTGAATTGACCACAGAACCCGGAAGTGTTCGAGTGAGATTGGGCTCTACTCTCGCTCTCATTCCATCGCAGGTGATCGCTGGCACAAACCCCTTTCCACGATGCCAAACGGTGATAGAAAAATAAAGAAAGAAAGAAAGAAAGAAAAGAGAAAGATAAAAATGAGGGAGAAAAGTTTTGGACTCAGATTTGCCGGAAGTTCACTGAAATCCTTCACGCTATCATGAACAACCAAGAGATTATAATTTATATTCTCATGGAACAACTTGCAAGGAATCTTAAAATCAGTCTAGCCCTTCTTGCGAAGGCTATCTGTGTTTCCGGTCTTTTAAGAGACGCAAACTTATTTTCCAGGTGCAGTATCATCACAAATCATTTTTCTAGGAACAAAATTCTGAAAGCTACCAAAAATAATACAAGTCGGTCGAGCGTACGTAGGCGCCCTTAACAACTGTTATGAAACTTCCCAGAGAGGGAGAGGGAACGGGCACTTCTCTATTTGGCCTGAACGGGTATTTTTTGCCAAACAGTTTAAAGTTTCAAGGTTTTCACTCTTAAAAGAAGAACCTACTCTCACGATTTAGCGTCCCTAACAGGGAACCTTTCCAGACCCTTGGATAGAGCGTCAGTATTGGTGGTTCGTTGTCTAATTGTATGTTTTTTTAATGTTCTGTCTGAACACACTAAATGTGTCATTAAGAAGTCTACCACTGTTTTTCGTCTTGACTAGGGTAACCAAATCAAATGGATGGATTTCGAGGTCAGGGTTCAAGGCCCACGGTGTCATTTTCCTTCAAAACTTCTCCAAAATGTTACCCCTCCCCCCCCCCCCCCCCTCAGGTTGAGAAAATACTTCCCTCTCATTGGATCTTTCCTACTCCAATTTTTTTTCTCAACGGTAGGGAACTTGGCGTGCTTTCAAAATAACAAACTTAAAGGTTAATTTTTCAATATTGATGAAACGTGACCAAATTCATCTACGCTCAGAGCTCTGCCCAATCTTGTGCGCTTTGGCTATTGAGATGTTCACACAAAGACCTTTTCGAGACTTTTCGGCTTCATTATTGCATTTTGATCGGCTTATCTTTGTTATTGATGTCTATTGTAATTTTATTTAATATCTATTCAGATTTTTCACAGTGTTTCAGTATTTTTTTTTCAACGAAAGCTTCGTCAGAGATGCAAATTTGATTGGCAGAATTCTACATAACTCTTATGAACTTTAGAAACTTGCCTTCCACAGTAATATTCACATTGCTTTTGCAGTTTTTCTGAGAAAAGTTGTCAGATTTTCCTGGAAAAGTAGCAAATGTTGAAATCGTGAAAAGGCTCAACTAAAGACATGTTTACATTGGAATGACCTTTTTGTGCGTAAAGCATCTGCAGAGGCCTTCTCCCCACAATGGAGATTTTCTCTCTACAATTCTTGATTTGAAATAAATACAGCGAGCAAGCGAAAGGGGTTGTATTTGAACGTAATAGCATAGCACTGGGCAACGACAAGTGCTGATCAAAAGATATGTACTCACTCGAAATACCGAAATAGGGCAGCCCACAATCATGCCATTTCGGGTTTTTATAATACATTTCCGCTTTAAGCTGGCAGAAATTCAAAAGCTAGCGCATAAAAACTTAAAAAGCAGTGCCAAAACAAAAAAGACTGAGATTTGTCGGTGAAACCCTGCCTGAAAATCGTAGGGAAGTGAATTACTGAATTATATTAAACACGTTGAAAAAAAACGACGGGATGACTTATCAACCAGTTTTTGAAGTAATGGCGCCATTTCTTGTGGAAAAAATTTATACAGACGAAAGAACAGGGGCGTACCAAGATGTAAGTGTTTGGAGGGCTCGATTGGATTCCATCCCTGAAGGTGTGTTTATGATCGGGGACGTTGCATTTGGAGCGTTTACTTCCAGTTTTCCACGAAAAGCTGTGGTTCTGGTTGATCCCTTGATCACCATCTTAGTGAAATCATCAAACCGCCATCTTCCTAGGAGGAAATTTGGACCGACGAGGGCTCCGGGGGTAGACAATACGGCTCTTTTTGGCGAGTAAATGCTCCTCCAGGCTTTGTGGCCCTAGGCGATGTGGCTTGCAATAACTGGTCTCAGCCGACCCCTGAATTTACCGCCAAGTATGCCTGCATCCGACAAGATTTGCTTTCTGCTGATGCTGAACTGTCTTCCACAGCTTTGTTAAAAACTTGTGTGAGCAAGAAACCATTAGCGTCATTTAATGTTCGCTTTGGATATACAGTTCTTTAAAATCTTCTTAATTTCACAGTGAAGAGTTTCATAGCACTCTAGTATTCAGCTACTACATCATAGCATCACAAACGAAGCCATTTTTACCTTGAATTTGAAGCTGATCGCTCGTTACTAACTGCATGAATCAGTGTAATGTAAGCTAAAACCCTAAGTGTGCTCAGTGAGACATCAATAAACCAAACACAGACCTTTTTAAGAATATAACCAGACTCGTATTATCTCTTGTATGGATTGATTATGAGCTTCAACCGATAGCTAACCAAAAGAAAGGCTATTTCTTTGTCACAGACTGAAACCTTCGTTTCAAATTCGTTGAAAAACCAATACTTTCGGGTTTGACTTGAGACACAAACATTACACTGATTGGTGACTTCCGGCATTTCTCGGAATTTCCGATCATTTCCTTTTCCTTTCCTTTTTTTTTTCGACCAATTAAAATCATGTCTGTTTTGTTACTCTGAGAGCTAGGAACTAAACCAAGGCAATTTAATCTCTGATAGTTTGAAAAGCTAGTAAAGTTAACTTTACATCTCCTATGATAGTAAGGAGCGCATTTCGATGTAGTGTCGCAACATCGTAATCAAAGTAATCACAACGTTCAGGAGAAACAAAAGCAAATGGACGCGCTATATCGTGTATTACTTTCGAACCTCGAATGACTAATTAAAGCAACGTGTCGAAGCGCCAAATAACAATTTTCACTTCGTCCTCAAAAATCAGTTATATAAAGGTTTTCTAAGGGGCTCATTGTGGTGTGTACAGAGGAGAGTCGGGGAAAGGAGGGGGCTGCACCCCCCTTCCCAAACCTTACCTTTTTCACTACTAGTTTGACAACAAGCTTTAAGCAACGAACAGATCGCTTATACAACTCCAGTGGCTGATGTTTTTCATGCAGCCGCGCGTGAGGGAGGTGGACAGACGTGTTCGCTCAAAGGAGTATTTTGGGCCCCAAGTGGTTTCAATATTCATACGATGATCGAAAAGTATAGGGAGAATTTGTATAACCCGTATGTCATATGTCAATGAGAAAATACAATTAAGAACATGTAGTTGGGAACATTTATTCAAAAAAAAGAAGACAGAAGCAATCCACCAACCAAAGCCGAAGTCTCCGTACGTAGCTCCCAATATCCACATTGATGAACATCCACTAGAGTGGTACAAAAATTCACATACCTCGGAAGCATCATCACGAACGATCGAACATCGCCAAAAGATGTTGAGAATGAGATGTCCAAAGCTAGAGGCGCATTTTGTCGTCTGCAAAAACGAGTATGTGAAAACCATTCCTTCGACTCTCCTAAAATTCTGGTATATAGGGCTGTTGTCATCAATACCCTCCTGTATGGCATTGAGGCATGGGTACTGTGGAGAGACAAATCAAACCCCAAGATCAGTATCACCAAAGTTAACGCTGCCTCCGCTCCATCATGAACATTAGATGGCAGGAAGCATAAGAACAGGATTCAACAGGACCTACCTTCTTGTGCCCTAGATGTCCTAGAATCTGCCTATCGAGAATAGGACTGATAAGTCCTTTGAGGGCGTCCCGCCCTCCCCTGGCGGGACCTTTTCACAACTGATCAGCGAATACGAAGAAACTGCCATCATCATCATCATCATCAACGTGTTTATGCTCAATTGCTGGAATAAATTCGGCATGATGGCACGATGCCCACACTATGCCATTGTGCTGGCATTAATTATGCTCGATCCTCCGACTATAGCATTTCCCCAACATTATGACGGCAAGATTTATCTGAGCCTAGTCTTGAGACTTTCTCAGCCACAGCGTCAGAAAGCCAGTCTTCGTTATCAGAAGTTTAATTGAGTATTGCTGTATGTCCGAATTGTCGCTGTTTTGTTGATAACTTTCTTTACGCCTTTTAATAGCTTATGTACCAAAGTATTAGTTTCCTACAATTATACTCCGCGCCTTGTTGAAAATGCTTACTTTCTTTGGATCATGCTGAACACAGGTAGGCACAGGAAGTGCGTTTCAATTGGGGGAAACGTACTGCTCGTATTTCACGCACCTTTATAATCTTATGCTCCCACACAATATCCTTGGTTCAGATACTGCATCGATCACTTTGAGGCTTCAACATCTCACCCCCGGGTAACCCACGGGCATTTGACTGTCGTCTGTGCCGTAAGGGGGGGTGGGGGTGGGAATTTTGAACTTGTCTTGCTGAGGTGAGGAATTTGAGCTGGAAGTGTCAAGCCTTTCTCGCAGAAAACACGTGTTTTATCTTAAATATGCAGGTGGTCGGGCAAAAGAAGAAGGGCTGAAAAGAAAAAGTCTACAAGGTCTAGGTTTTAAGGCTTGATCAGTAAGTAAAAAGTTAAAGTCGCTGATTTTGCCTTTTACAGAAAAATTGATCGTTGAATTCGATACTTGGGTAGGGCATTTGAACACAGTTTACTCCCACTTGTTTCCAACTAGGGCTAAATGCAAAAATCCGGATGTTTTAGGATTATTTTAGAGACCAACAAGATTTTTAAAACATTGAGGATTTTTTAGAACATTTAGGAATTTTTAGACGACAATGTTCAAAAACATACAACCGAGAGAATGAAAACAAATTTGTTGGTTTTTCTTCCATTGTTTCCGAGCGGGCTCCATGAAACTGTCAAACTCTGCTCACCGTTTATAGTCGTTACTGTTTGTTTGAAAGAGGAATATGTTAAGAGACTAAGCTGACGAACCACTTAAAACATTGTCAAGAAAACAAACGGATCTTTTTTAATCAGTTTGAAGGTGCTTCCACGCAGTTTTACCACAGGAACCTCGCATTTTATGTGATGTTTATGTTTATATTTTTTTTTGTTTCAAAAATCGGGATTTTTAGAGAAAATTTCGAGATTTTAAGAGACAACAATGAGATTTATTGGCATTTTTTGGAGAAATTCCGGATGAGTTTTTCGGCCATTTTGCAGGATCTTTGGATCTAAGGCCCTCTCCGCACTAGAGGCCAAGGTACAGTTGTCTCGACAGAATCAAAAGACAATTGTTATCAAAAATTTTTGTTTCGTCTGTTGCATCCGCATTAAAAGTTTCAAAGCCGTCAAATTCCATCAGCGCCTGATCTGTTCATAAGACCAGCCAGTATAGTTTTTGGCACAGAATTCCACCTCCAGTCTACAGGATTTATCCTTAGTCGTTTTAAAATTTTAGAATCTCCGAATTTTGCCACAAAAGACATTTTTTTCCTTTCTATGAAACTGATTTTAATTCAATTACACGCTGGTCGTAGCTTTTACGACGAATGATTGACAAGTTTAGCATGGTTTTGCTTCTTCTGTCGATTTTGTCAAATTTTTACCCGGCCCGGGAAAAATTTTGTCGGCGTGTTCTTAAGATTTGTCCGCTCCGGCCAAAATTTGTCAAGTCGCGACAAGCAACCGCACTTACAAAATTTTGGTGATGACAGAAAACTTTTTCGCTAGTGCGGAAAGGCCCTATGTCTATCTCCCACAGCCCAGTACATTTCAATGTGAATCGCTGGTGCGTATCCAAGCGTTAAACTGGTTGTTAAAAATATGTTTCTCATTAGCATATAACGAACGAGTAAGACGAATTTACTAATACGCGTTGACGAGTCCTTTTTGTTCACTTGCCTTTGTTTCGACTGACCGTTGTAATTACTTTGGCTATAGTATTGCGACACTCAATATAGAAATGCGGTCCTTGTCATCATACGGAAGGCATGAAAAGCATTAGAATTGTAGATCAATAAACTCTATTTACTTTTTACACTTTTAAAAATAGGCATTTAAGACTGCAGCTGCATATGGCGACTCATGTAGCACAATTTTTTATGGCATTGAAAAGAACCAGGGGTTGTACGATGATGCTAGAAGATAGCGTTGCAAAAGATTTGTCTCGGATGCAAAACAGAAATCCTCTCATAAGCATTCCACATACTTATGAGAGCCCTGTTCCACCGCAAGAGAAATATGACTCAAGAAAATAGCGAATAATTATCACACAGCTACTAATTAAATGGTGACTAATAATCGTATTAATAATAACAATAATAATATTAATCATAATGAGGATGATAACGGAAGTACTTGTAATGATAACTTCTAGCTCAAGAACCTCACTGTTTCTCTGTCGGTTTATCCCTAGGCTCCAATAATGATTAAACTAGTCTTCTTTTAATTTTGATTTGCTTGTATATTATAAATCATTTTCTCGTTTCATTGTATTTCCATTTTTGTGAAACTTTCGTTTTATACAACAAGGCATTCCGCGTTGTAGAATATTCCCCCATTCCGCCATTCCATCATTCCATCATTCCATCGAATAGCGTCATCCTGTTTAGCTCAACGTCGTTACTCGCTTCGCAAATCTAGCGGCTTTTTGAGCATTTGTCGCTGATTGAAATGGTAAAATTACCTTTTTCGAATAAATAAAATTTGTCTTCAAAGTTTCCACGATGTGTAGATCAAACCTATTTAGATAGTTCTGCAAGGAAAAAGTCTTTATTTCTATTACGTGCCGAGACGCCACTGTGAACTATTTTGAGATGTTTATCATCTACCGTAGAGTCACAGTTAGAACAGAAAAATTATATCTTCGGATCTACTGGGAATAATTCACTGATTCAAACGTTAAAATGATCCCTCTTTAACGAAAACAATTTTCCTCTAAATTTTCATGATACGCCGATTACTCCTTTTGAGACATTTCTGCAAGGTAGAGCTTTCTTTTCTCACGCGCCATTCTGAAATGATTGTGAGATGTTTATCGTCTTCTGTAGCCACTACGAGACAAACAATTGGCAGGTGATCACAGAGTGATCACCTGCCAATATTCCGTGAAACATTCGAAGCGATTCGAAGAAATCGTCACTAGACGTTGAACGACCGAAGATGTTCAGAAACAAACG